TGAGTCTAGTGGGGTTGATGGAATTCACATGTTCCAAAACGCATTTTAAGGTCTACTTGTTTTCCATACATATTTCATATTAAAGCTGCATGTCAAAAGATATATAAGACCTATGGTCTGGCAGTTGAAAAAAGTTTTGGCCGTGAAATTCTCAATTTCCTTTGAGTCTGAAAAGGTTTTTGAGTGCTTGCGGATGTACTTGCAGGCTTTACAATGCCCGCATTGGTAGGTCCCACATGCGGGGTTTTTCAGCTATTTTAGCTGTCATGGCGACATGGGACGTTAAGACTTCTCTTAGATGTTGGTCCTGGTATTGTAGTGGCCAATATCTTTTGAGTGTATTTGTTACTGCTTTCCAACCCGCATCGAACATTCCAATATATCTGATAACTGGTTGTTCATTTCTTGTATCTTGGTCATCTTTGAGTAGATTATATCTTTCAGTTAGTAAGTCTCTCAAATAGGCTTTTTTTAGGCATTTGTTTGGGTAAGCTTTTGCTTTGAAATGTTCCCTTAGAGTTTTGGCTTTAATTTTAAAGTCAACTAGTGAGGAGCAATTCCTCCTAAGTCGTAGGTGTTGTCCAATGGGTATACCTTTCTTTAGGGCCGGGGGGTGATAGCTCTCCCAATTGAGAAAGTTATTGGTAGCCATTGGTTTCCTGTACAATGTGGTAGACAGGCTATTCTCTTCTGATAGTTCTATGATGACATCTAGGAAGTTCAGTTTGTTTACCCCTATCTCAAAGGTCTGTGGTATTGTTCCTATTCAATTCTTCTACAAAGAAGAAAGGTTTCCTTAGTGCATGTCTAGACAATCAGTATATCATCTATATACCTTTTCCAAGCTCTGATGTGTTGAGTAAAATGTTCCAATTTTGTGTCAAACACAATATTCTGTTCCCACCAAACCAGGTGAAGATTAGCATATGAGGGAGCACACGCCATCCCCATAGCTGTTCCCCTCACTTGGCGATAATATTTACCTTCAAAGAGGAAATAGTTGTGGGTCAGAATGAAAGAGAGTAGTCGTACTACAAAGTTGTTATGTTCCCTTCATGATGAATCTATTGTTTGGAGGAAGGCTGTTGCATGTTTAATGTCTACTTGGTGTAGGATTGAGCTATATAAACCTTCTACATCTAAACGACACAACATTGCATCATTGGGGACAGTAAGGCTATCTAGTACGTTGAGAGTTTATTTTGTATCTGTTAGATGGGATGGTAGAGTCCTCACTAAATCTCTCAGAGTGTGTTCTATATATAGGCTACTGTTTTGTGTTAAATTGTTTCTGCAAGATACAATAGGTCTTCCAGATAATGTTGTTTGTTGTTTGTGTATTTTAGATAGTGTGTAGAAAGTTGCCGTAGTAGGTTTTTTAACCAGCATAGACTTGTATTCCTCTTAAGAGATTATTAAGGAAGTTAGAGCCTCATCCAAAATACTTTTTAATTCACCAAAGTATTTGGGTGTTGGGTCTACTTTCAAAATGTGGTAAGTACTTTCATCATTCAGTATCCTTGATTCTATCTGTGTGTATTTGATTCAGTTCATCATCACAATATTACCCCCTTTATCGGATGGTTTAATAATCAATTAATCGAATTCCTCAACGTTTGCAAAGCCCTTTTCTCATTTGCATTCATATTGCTAAGAAAATGAGGAGATACATCTTCCTCACTCATTTTCTCAATCTCGCCACATGTGAGTACAACAAAAAGATCAATATATATGAACTCAGATATGTGTGGGGTGAATTCACTATTATTTCGGAGATTAGTGAAGGGTGCGGTTGGTTTGGTTTATGGGTCATTGCTTTTTAAGAGGTCTAGTAGGTTGTCTACTTTTGAGTCATATTTTTGGCCTCTAAACCTATTTTTTTTTAGCTCTTTTATCATTTTGGATACAGTGAAATTTATGTAGAGCTAACGTCGTGCGAATAGATATATGTCCTTTTTCCGGTAGAACTTATTAAATTCAGGTGTTGGGACAAAGGACATACCTCTCCGTAAGACTTGTATTTCTAATGGGGATAGATTGTGTGAGGATAGGTTGACAATTTGGCTTTCGTTAATCAGTGAGCCTTCCTCCTCTTGTGATTCTGTTGGAATGATCAGCTCCTTGTCCTTTCTTCTAAGTTTGGTTTAGGATGCCTCTAGGGTTAGAGTCAGTGAAGGTAGATGGACCTTCTATATTGGTATCAGATTCTGAACATATTCAGAGGTTGAGAATTGTTCAAGAATTGAGAATCTACACAATATGTCCATAAATTTACGGGTGCATGTACCAGCTGCCTCTTCCAATTCAGCAATAAGTTCTGTATCTTCTACATGAGAGGCAGTGATGTTCTGTACTCTAAGACCCCTTGATATTAAATCTTTGCTCAAATATTTCTCTAAAGAGGCTATTTCCCAGCCTGTTTTAATTTGTTGTTTGAATAGTGAGTTCAAGTGTTTAAAGGCTGAGAATAAACCTAGAATGGAATTATTAACATATAAAAATAGGAACCGAAAATCCCCACGTTCACAGATTAATTTTATTTGTAATTACAATTAATAAAGTGGACTTTTATAGAAGATTTTAAATGAACATTAGCACATTTTAGAACAAGGTGAAGATTTAAGTCATTTTATTGGGACAAAACCTAAAATTGTATATAGGGGAGCCAGGAATTGTAGACGTATTTTAACTAAAAGTTGTAGAACTAAAGATACAGAATAGAGAGATATTTTAGGTTCTAAATTGAGAGGTTTCTATAATTGTGGAAAATGGCTGTAAAGAAACTATGGTCACATGCAAAAAATCTGGTACCTTTACATCCTATACCACAAATAAGAAATATAATATTGATTATTTTATTTCTTGTAATATGAACAATATTATTAATCTTCTATCTTGTAATTGTGTCTTACAATATGTTGGCACTAGACCCTTCAAAATAAGAATAGGAGAGCATATTAGAAACATTCGCAAAAAAATACAGAACCATTCAGTATCTGCACATTTTGCTCAGTATCACAATGGTGATCCAAAATGTCTCCAATTTATTGGCATTTAAAAGGTGAAAAAGCCATGGAGAGGGGGTGATTTTATAAAACGTTTTAATAAGACAGAGATGAGGTGGATTTTTGAGTTAGACACCTTATCTCCGTCTGATATGAATCTAGATTTTGAGATTTTTTTAAATTATATTTCAAGGAATTTCCATTTTATCATGTGCTGGGCTATATATTTTAGTTTTTTGGGTTTTTTTATAAAAGGAAAGAGAAGGGAAAAGAAAATAAACATATAATTAAACATATACTTATGATGGTTTTAAAATAATTGATTGTGATGTTGCTTGTTTAGAATTTTCACTTTAAATAATTTTATTATATCTAATTATGTTTAGGGGTATGTAAAAATATCTTATCACAAATATGTTTTTGTTTATGTGTGTTTATATTAAGTTTATTGATACTGCTTTTTAATTTTTTCTCCTATGTCCTTTGCCCATACTATGTATACCAATATGCCTTAACCAAGACGGCCACCGGAGCAGTTCCGGCGGCTTTTCTCACACACAAATCTACTTCCTATGAATTTTGGAACTGGACTGTACACCTGCCTTCATTGAGCATTTGGGTGAGTGTGTGCACTCTATAGGGCACATCCGGGTGCAGCAAGATGGCACAGGAGAATGGATGCAAGGTCTGACGAAATCGGAAGTAGTTGCCATGTACTACTGAAGGTTAGGCAACACGTCCAAGTGAGTGTGTCTAAAAGGAGTTTCAGCACCAAATTTTCGATGAAAAAGAGGACAGAAGGAGAATGTACCTGATGAAGGCGGCTAGCCGAAATGCGCTGTGTGTGTTTTACGAAGGACTTCTTGTTGCTGGCTTTTGTGCTTCTTATATGCAAGAATTTTTTTAATAAATGTGAAGATTTTATTTACCATCCTTGCTTATCATCTCTCACCACATGACCACTGGTGAATAATATTGAAGCAAAGATACAGATATTGTACATCCTACCCATGCCTATATACCTGAGCCAGTTTGCTAACAGGCTCAATAACATGTGAGTAGGATGCAACTATAATATAAACATAATACATTCAATGTGTGGGTATTATACAGACTGTTTTGCCCTATGTGAGTTTTTCTCTTTTTAAAAAGACTTTTGGACGCAGCTCATTAATAAGTGTATGTGCAATTTGTTACTACTCTTTTTATTCACTGTGCACATTTTTGTGTAAGTGCACTTTCCACTCAGTTTTTGGTTTTATCTTATTTATTAAAGTCCAAATGACCCCAAATGGGACCAAATGGGATAAAACCATACAAGACCGTTCAAACTGCAAAATCCAGACATTGTTCACACACTCTCCACAGAGCTTGCATTGTGTGAAGATGCTGAATGTGGGTCCTGCAATTTTTTGCAGCATGGAACCCAGGAAGTCTCTCTCTAGCACTGTGAGTGACAGCCACTTGAAGTGCCATTAGGCAGCAGTGTAAGCACTGCCTTTTCCAAAAGCGTTTACATTGCCTGTAGGGGCAGGCTCTTTGCCCCAGAACTACTGCATTAGGCTGTAGTGGTTATGGTGCCTAACATATTATTCACTTAAGTTCAATATTTAACAATAGGTGTGTTTTACAATTCAGACAACAAACATGTTTGGATTTCAACCGGACCTAATGCCACAGAACAGCTGAAATCCATACTCAAATGCTACAAATCGGGGCCTGGATTTTTTTGATTTTTTTTTAAATCTAAACTATTAGCTCGCTGGCAGTGCTAGCCGTCGGTTGACATGTAGTAAAAAAAAACTTTGAAACTTGTATTGAGGGCATATCTGCTAAATAAAATAAAATAAAATTATCTGCGCTTCCTAAAATAAATACAAATTTTAGTGATTAAAAGAGGTATCCACTCACCGATATCAAATGGCCATTCACTGGATCTAGCATTGTACTTTATTCTTCCCTTGTGCGCTTAGCTTAATGGATGAGTGGGTGACACACACATTGGACTAACAATAGGGGCTTCCCCCTAGGACACTCAGTCTGAGGTGCTCCCACGTTTCCTATATAGTACAGGACAGAAATACTGTCATGTCTCCTTCCATGGGTATAACCCATATGAACCACAGCACAGGGGGGTGACAGGGGAGATGGACGAGATACTCCCTAGTCCATGTAGTCTACGTTCCGGTCTCCCGGAAGATAAAAATATATTTTGAAACTGTGAAAGACGCCTACCTAGGGAAGTAACATGAGTATATCCTGGGCTCTAGTGACCAGGCAGCCTAGCACTAAAATAAGGTTTCAGTACCATAATACCTAAGGTAAATTTATTGTACAGATGGCTTTAGAAAGCAGGATAATGCGAGATTGTACGTAATGACCCCCTTATTTGTAATTCATTTTCTTCTGTAAGAAACTCTAGCCTGAACCAAAAAAAAGCATTTTGTAAATATTTGCATTGTGGAATTTCCGAGAGGGAAATGTTTACTCGAAATCCTGTAACGACTTCGTTTTTATTTCACTGCCTTTTTATTTCTGTATCTCTAACTAATCTTGGGGAAAAAACAAACTAATAAATAAAGATTGACAAAAAACTAAACAAAAAAAAAAAAGAGATATTAAACCGTAACAAAGCACTAGGAAATAATGTTACAAATAAACTAACAGAAAGTGTTAAACCAAATAATTGCATTTAGCTAACACAAAGTATCTAAACCAGGAGATACAAATTGTCACAGACCACAAAAAAAACACTTATGGATAGCACTCATTATTTGCAAAGTCTCTGAGAATAATGAGCTTAAATAACAGTCTCTTTAGTTTGCCAATAAACCATCAGCTTAAGTGCTCAGCATCTCTCCAATGTGGCTCAATATGTAAAAAATAATAATACACTTATTAGTCAAAGTAGTAAAAATAACAATTGTAAAAACAAACAAATAAATGACTTCTCGTGTATTATGCCCCACTGAACCAGTTAGTGTAGTCATCTCTGGGGGTATTAAGTTCTGTTTGGGGTCCCGTTCAATGCAGGAGAGTTGGAAAGGGGCTTTCTCCAGTGTACTGTGACTTCTGGTCAGGTATGGAAGATCAGAGTGATGGGAGTTATCCTTTAAGCATCCAGGCACATTTTGCCTTTATTCTGGCTTTCTCAATGGTGCTTTAATGGTGCCATGTTGGAGAAGAACTGAACACTCAAGCTGCTGCCTTATTGGTCAACTAAAGGACTAAGAGACTGTATGTCAGCTCAGACTGATGTAAATAATGAGGCCTATTCTAGCACTAAGATCGACATTAAGCATTCTTTTGTGATCTGTTACAATTTGTATCTTCTGGTTTAAACACTTAAAAAAAAAAGTTATTTGTAACATTATTCTGATGACCATTACTCTTTTCAGTGCAATGTGTTTTACTAAGATTTAATACCCTCTTTTAATTACTAATATTTGTATTAATTTTAGGAAGAACAGTTAATTTTCTTTTATGTGGCCATATGTGTTTTATGAGGTCCATGTGGCCATTTTCTGTTAGAAAGAGATACTAAGGTGCTGGGGGAAGATACACAGAGACGGACCATGGAATGGGAAAAAGAGACACACAAAGTGTTTGAGGGAAAACGAGACACAGTTTATTTTATATCAAAATTATTGTCCTTAGTTTTGTTTAATGAGAATGTGAGTGACAGAAAGGCATAGCAGCTTCTTACATATACTTTTCTGTTGCAGGTAAATGTCAAACCTATGAGAATTGTAGAAAAATGTTATGATTTTTTTCATAGTTTATATAAATGTTTTTGGTGGATTGATGTAATTTATCCAATTAGGCAATGTTTCACCCCCGCCAAATAGTAAAATTCATATATTAAATATTGATGATTCCTGATAAATAAGACACTATTTGCCCCAATACAAAGTTGCATTGAATATTACACAATGTAATGTATTTCAGATTTTACATTCACAGATGACGTAGTTTGTGATATCATCCATCAGAGTTAAGTAAGCTGTGATGCTCTTAATAGGTCATAAGGCAAGTCTTAGGTGAAGCCATTAGTATGTAACACATTGGGTAATTTGTGAGGCTCTATCTGATGACATCATAAAAGTTGGAAGAATTGTATCTAATAGCCACATCCTCAGCTTCAAAAATATGTTTGTGTGCTACCAACAATATATTTAAATGTGATATTATTTCCAAATTAAAGGTACAGTTTTCTAGTATTGGGTAGTATTTAATAAATCTCCAGGTACTTGTAAAGAGATCATTGCTGATGCTTAATTGAAGTGCTAGAATAATACTGTGCTAGTGAAACAAACAAGCAAAATAACACAGTCAGCCATCATTGCTTGATTTGCAATACTTTTATCATTTATAATTTCTGTTTCCATTGCATTGAGAAGTAACTGTACTATAGGTACTGTGCAGGCATTGCTGAGACTGTCCACTGGACACTTGTAGAGTTCAAAGAATACATACTATAGAAAGGCATAGGACTAATACAGCAAAATGACCAGGGGCTTCCCCTCATGGGTAGATTTTATGCTCCCCCGTAACCTTAAACAATTCCTGTACCATACCCTATGTACAACCTTAAATTCTAATCTGCTCTATAAAACACATTCGGTCATCATTTCATTTAAATTTAGACTATTCCATTAATCTATATTTATAAACACCACACGTGCTGTAATAACTTTTCACCTTATGTATTAAAATCCTGCACCCACAGCAATATCCCCAAAGCTGTGCTGTGTCATTAACTCCAAAGATGGTGCAATTAAATGGCTCTGTCGCTAATTCTGTGATTAGAGGTGCAGATTGTTCCCTTAGAATTAAAGGGGTCTAACAATGAAATGGTGATACAATTAGACTCGGGGCTCTTCAGGAACCTCAGGGATTCACACAATGTCAGTCCTCCCACCTAACCCCCAGGAATGCCCGTTCCAGCATTTATAATTCTATTTGCTACTTCTTATCCTATACCTCTCGATATTGTATTACCAGTGCCCATTTTCAATGATGGCCCTTACAACTTTATACATGTCCAATATCTAGTCCATATCTTCAGTGAATTGTTGGAGAACGTCTTGTGTTGGTTAATGTGACTGTAGCAGTGAAATGTAATAAATTATACTGTTTGATTTTCTTTTTTTTATTTTGCATGTGCATACACGTAGCTCTTCGACCTACTCCAATACGTGAATATTTAAAAGAATGGCCTTTCAGGTTAAATACAAATAATATATAGTACAAAAAATACTCTGTATAATAGAATATTGCAAACAAAATAGATTATATGCTTCTAGTCGAGTTAATTCTATTCCAGCAGTAGAGGGCAGCACAGTGCAAAAGAAGCATAATCTCTGAATTAGTGTGATGTTGTATGTGTCTTACACTAGATTTTTGCAGTCTGTTACATACGGTACAGGCTTACCACTCCCTGTATGAATCAGGGACTCAGTAAATCTTTTTATATTGTGACATATCTGACATGTTATTGTCATAAAGATATTAATGAAGGCAAACTTTAGCATTCGTGTCATTGGATTATCTGTTATTTAGGTTAAGCTTTTTGTCTCAACATCAACCTTAAAATATTTGTGCATTCTGATAAAACTGAGATATGTCCACTGATTGTCTTTTCTCGTTTTGGATCACAAATATGCCGTCAGAATTAGCATAATAATTTGCAATATCATGGGAGGTTGTTGCAAACTGCTTAATGCTGAAGATATTTCCTGCCTCTGTACATCAAGTAAAATATTTGACTTTTCAAATGTACTTGAAATCAATTACTTTGTCCTAATCTGCTAGCAGAATCCTTTTAATTTACAGGTTCCAAATATAAGATTCTTGTAATCTTGAAAATTATGAAGTGTGTATAGGACAAAGCTTTTGTAGTTTTTAGTTTGGTGTCCCTGCGCTTTTAAATTAAAATAGCTGCAACAAGGGTATAAAGAAGATGCATCAATTTAATTAAAAAGAGGGGGGTTGTACATATGACTACTTTAAGCCATTGCTAAGCTAGAGAGCTTTGGAAACAGCCATGGGCACTCATGCACAATTTGATTTCTCTCATAGATCACAAACATACACTACTAAGTTATATATGCAGGACTTAATTTCAAACAAGGATTTAGGCAGGCTATACTAAACGTTCTTGTCCTTCACCCAGATTTTACAACCCTCTGTCCTCTATGCTTCTATTAAGTGGCCAAGAGCATAGACTACTTAAAATCCCTTAACTTCAATCTCTTACTAACTTTGTAGATAGGTGGGATGTAGCGGATAAGCATTTATTTTGAGTTATGCATGATGTTTTGCATAGTTGTAGACTCTGGCAATAATACTAAGAATCAAGATGTTGGTGGTCCTTAAGAAGGTTGAAGGGCTTTTACTTCCTCGGCTTAGTTTATGTTCTGCATCAAAAATATATTATGATGTAGTATATGCCGAATTTAAAAATTCCATTTGCTGCTAGTCATTGATGGGTGAAAGTTCAGCCCTGGAGTACAGTAGAAAGTCACTCATAGTGAGAGTGCCCTAAAGGCTTACAGTGCTACTTAATTAAAATCCTGGCTAGTAGTATACGACTTAACATTTTAAGCTACAGTATATGATAACAGATCACTGAAGTATCAGAGATAATAAGTCCCTGTTACTATTTACAATGAAGAAAATATCACTTAAAATAAGCACCCTAATAATTGTTCCCTCACGCTTTAAGTATAACTGTACATTAGAAATGTTTGTTGGACCCAGATATATGCTATTATACAAACAGAACTTTTGCTCAGAAACCTCAGTGTCAATGACCTATTTCTGTTTGTTAGTCTTGTTTTCTTTAAAAACACACCATTTGTGTTATCCATTGTCCCAGAGATACCATCTCTTTCATTTAATAGGTAAATAGATTATCTATCCTTGGAAAATGTTCCAAATGAACTGGTTGTGGACTTCCTGTAAAAATAAAAAAGGTCACTTCTTTCCGTGCCAGGTCCACCATTTGGACTTCTAGACTTTGATACCATTACATTACCATTACTCAATAACTGATCCCCAATGATGTTGAAAGAAAATAGCTCATTTATAGAGATAAAGTATCTCTGGATAGTTAAACGGAAATACTACAAAATGTTATGTGTATCTCAAAGGCCACAGCAGCACAAATTCTTCCCAGATTTTTATTGCCCAATAAGGTAAAGAGGTATCAGAAATGGACACAGCAAATTTTCTTTTCCCAGACAGGGAGGTCACAAAAGTAGCAGCATTGTGTTAGGCAGGTGGGAACTTTTTTGGCCTAGAGGTGTCAATAACCAATTTAAATATAATTTATATATTACTCATACATACCCTTATTTAGCAAATGACCAATATTTGTTGCAGTTATGGCTTGTCCTATAGTCAGGAGATCATTACATTCATTCATCCATCCACAAAGTCCAATTATGCACTCACAATTATTGGGAACCAGCAAAAACATATTATGACATGTCTTCCTGGGTTCTGGGGTTCTTGAGCTTGAATTTCTCATCCCCGAAGTTGGTATTTCAGGAACTTTCTACTTAATTTAATGCCCAATGTTCAAAGTCTCTCTCTCTCTTTTTAAAAATTTTCCATTAAAAATATTTCTATGAAACAATAAGAAATGGATATTTATTATATATGGTGAATAATTTAAATGTCTGTTGCATTTTAGTGATATTTACGTATGGCTGCTTATATATATATATATATTACAAAAAAAAAAAGATGTCTGGAAATTGCACATTGCTCTCCAGGTTGTTTGCATTTTTCCCTTTCCTTTGGGGCAGAAAGGTCAACAAACATATTTCCGGACTTGTCCCATTGACCTCTGCACAGCCGCAGAGCTGTACATTGCATTGTTTTAAGGGGACTTGGCAAGACTTGTAGTGGCTGTCCCCTGAGGAATACAAAGTTTCAAGGAGGGACAAAAGTGCATCAGTCTCTCACATGGGTTAGTGAACAGTTTTATGCTACACCAGATTCCTTCTCTTGGACGTTGTATTCTTTGCTTTTTTTCACCTTCCAGACAATGATACTCAACAGGCAAATTCCTAGGAGTTTGAAGCCCATCTGAAGACCCAAGTACCTGCAAAGTAAGTATGGTTGGTGAGATGTTTGAGTAATATTATTATTTTTAGTCTAATCAGATTGAACACCTGGTAGTATGTCCTACTAACATGTCCAAATGCACAAGTTGTCATGCTGTGTTCATGATGTCTCAGTCTAGTCTATGTCAATATAATTGAGAGGTAATTAATGGTCCAACCAGCATCTTCACCAGTTCCATCCCTACATACCTGTTCCGCAGAAAGTCATTATTGTAATATCTGCATGCACCACGTGTCCCGTGGCATGACATGTCCCATTTGATGCATGCCGAATCAATCACAAACCCAAAGAGAGCTGGTGCAGGTAACCAGGCTGGAAATCATAAAAAAAGCACAGCTCAAGATATGAATCATGAAAATAAGGCTTCATAACATACTTTAAGATAAAATGTCAGGGTAGTTTGGACATTATTTTTTTTAATGATTTATTACCACTTTCAAACACAAAATGTCAAGGGTACTGAACCTCAAACAAAACTACTGTTACCATGATGCATGTTCAGATAATGCCTGCTGTGATATGTTCTTTAAGGTTCAAAAACAGATGGAGCTCCACAGGCTGACTGTTTCTGCTTGTGTAATTAGTCTACTGGTAATGTAATCTCTGCTCAGTGTAAATCTTTATATCACTGCATACTCTATATTCTTCCTTTTGGGACCTCAAGCATGATATATAGCATGGCTATGTGAAAGACTTAGATAGTGCACTTTAGAAAATAAAACATGTCATATTGTTTTCAGACACCAGCCAGCTACCTTTACAATTCATATCCCTTGATGCCTCGTTCATTAATGTTTATATGAGAATTTTATATCTCTATCTCAATTACAGTGTTGGATGCCTGGATGTGGGGATTAATTATCTATAACGTCAAAAACCCCTCTTGACTGCAGCAGTAGCATAACCCCCTCTCTTTACTTTTATTACTCTTATTTCTCTTAATTCTCTTAACTTCCCTTCTCCCCACTTGGTGGTCATTCTCTAAATATGTTCCATTTACACGAAATGCTTCTCATTGTCATGAGATTTTAAAGGATACTGATCTATGGATTGATGTTTTCTTTTAGATATTTTATTACCATGTGTGCTGTCAATTTTGCTAGATAATGGTCATCCTACTTTTGTTATGGTGTTATCACCTGTAGCATTACTCATTTATTCCTAGTAAATTCAGCAATATAGCAAAATTTAGCAGTAAGCAAACTGACATAGGAAAGTTTCATTATGGATGCGCAAATTCGGGAACTTACAAGTTATGTTCAGAATCAAAGTAATACTTTTTGTGGCGAATATAACCACTACTATTGTGATCTGGCTAGAACAGAGCAATAATGTAAAGGTATAGGTACACTTTTAACCCCTTAAGGACACAACTTCTGGAATAAAAGGGAATCTTGAAGGAATATTTCCGTCATTTGTCATTAAGGGGTTAAATAGCTATATTAGATATGATAAATAGAGAAATTAATCCTCATTGCTAACAAGATGATTGGTATGCAGGTATATCCTGAAATCACTTTCTACAAGTTACTTTGAAGGGTCAATCTGCCAAACACAGAACCTAGTAAATATTTTTTTATATTTTCTCTTGTCTATTTACTTGATTCGCTAAATATCATGTTTCCACAACGATCCTTGAATTCACAGCTTGTCATGCAAATAACCACAGACAGACATTGTGTTTTCAAATTCAGCTTGAAATTACTTTGAAATTCCAATCCAGTCAAAGGATATACTGAGACAAAGTAGGGACTGCTTTGTCTCAGCATTTTTTCCTATGCCTGACACTCCAAGACAGTGGGTGGAGCCACCACTGCCTAGAGGTGTCAATCCCCAGTGGCTGCAGGGAATTGGCTCTGTCTATTAAGGATCCTGAGGTCTCGTGGGACTTCCGTAGCCTTCAATGCTGTACTTTCGCACATGTGCGAGAGTACAGCAGGGACATTGGCTGGAAGAGGAAGATGACCGGCCAGAAGAATATGGCAACACCCTTGAGGGGCATGATAAGCCAAGTTATATTCCCCTTAGCCTGCCCTCCCGGCTACCCTGGCCACCGGATCCCAGCAGCAATGTCACAGCCTCAGTTGAGGACTCTATTTAACCCTGCACTGCAAGGAGTCCAAGATGGAAGTATTGTATAAGTAAGTGGTTAATCTCATAAGAGCAGGCATTTGGTTGCTTGGATAGGATACGTATATAGGTGTTATCCGTTGTGTTGTGGAAGGTTTATGCAATGTAACATGTATCTAAATCCTCATTGTGTCAGCCTAAGTTGGAGTTAAAAACTCCTGAATAATTCTGTGGATGTTGTAGCTAAAATTGAATGAATGCACTTTTATTTCAATATATATGAACAATAACTCACCAAGAAGTCTCATTAGAAGAAACTGAACACCAATTGCAAATGATTTTTCATCCTGAGGCACGACCCTACAAATATAAAGAATTGATATCAGTGAGGAAATGCATGTCTCCAGGAGCTGGGCGCTATAGGTACAGACTAACACTACCTACCGTAAAACCATCATATAGAGAGGGTTGTGGGAAAGGCATGCAATGAGCCCAGCAAATGAGATGAGGAACATGACTGGCAACAGAAGGTGGGCACAGTTGGCAATACAGGACCCTGAATGAGCTGTCCCTTTACTCGACCTAGGTTCAACACAGGTGCAGTTCATATAGACCTGAAGAATTAGAGAGAAAAATAAATTCAAAGAATTACAGAATAGCTAGAATACCTTAAAATAGCTGAAAATGTGTTTTCCATCAGCTCTGTAATAAAGCAATTATAGTAAAATGTATCTAAAATATTTCAGGAAATGGAAAATTGTGTGAATATACCTGTTAATCTAAGATAGAAAACGTTTCTTTAGAAAATGAAAAGAGAGATGATGATTTGGGAAAAGAAAAACCTCCACTTTGTCTTTACTGGGATAATTTTGCAAATATTCCATGTTTAGGGAAAGAATCAATACAGCTGCATTTACTCACCTTTGCAGACGAGCTGTATGTAGTACAACCGGCGTGACATGGAGACAGATATTCCACTCCATTAGACCCACAAACAGGATTGAAGACAGAGTCCAGGCAGCCACACTGACTGATACAGTTGGAAGTACTGGCAATTTAAAGTAGCGGAAGAATTGAGTTAGAAAATGGATGGCAATTAGATGGTGCTCTATATACTGTGTCTTGGTAAAGACTTCCTTAACCACATATAGCATTCGTTGCATTAAGAATACTACTTTTAAGAGGAATTCCTAATGTTGTATATTTGATAAGAGCTCCATTCATTATATGTTATTATAGCCAAAGGTACATTCATGTACCACAAACCTACATGGATAGTTACCGAACCTAAAATGTTAAAATTGTATGCAAACATGACTTTTTCAATATAATATAAAGGTAACGGAATGTTAAGATAAATGTGTTGGCTAGGTAACTTAGCAATACTGATGTCATTATTATGTCTATTCTCGTTGTTTTGTCTCCCATCTCGAATTCTTGACCTTGGCTCATTCTCTACCTTGTCTTGTATGATGAAGGTTATGTCCCTTCAGTGGGCAAGTTTGCCCATTATAGATGATGCACCCTCTGATGGCACTCCCACCCGCCCCAATTACATACCTCTTAATAATTTGAGGTATGTTTCGTTATAGGTATAGTGTTAAGTCCAGCCCAGTAATACGCTACTATCCTGTTTATCTACCTTTCCTCTTGTTATGTTGAGTTGACTGACCTGAGTTTGGAATGTTTGGTATGCAGATCCTGACAGTATATCAGTTCGTAGCAAGAAAAAAAATACAAAGGGCCTAAATAAATAAAAATGTACAATGCTGGAAATCCTGTACCTGTCTGTTTTATTGTCATTGATGCCTCCCAGCTCTTGCGTAGGACAACCCATGAAGAAAAGTGGAACGCACAATAGTATTGAAAGAACCAAGATAGCTAATGCAAATCGAGGAATTATTTTCACTGTGAAGCCATATTTTTTCATGATGATGCCTCCTATGAGCATACCTAGAGCAGCCGTAGGAAGATTCACAGCCCCTGCAAAGATATGAGTCAAGGAACTGTTGATATTTTCATAAAACCTTTAGAAGTTCAGCTTAAGATAGAAATAGCGAAATTATTTTTTAAATTACTAATCAGAAATATTATATTTAATCATGGATTTCTACAAACCTGGTGGAAAAAAAAAGCATCACCTTGTATCTCCGTTGATATTTTCATTGATACTTTGGACTTAAAGGCACATACATCACTTGACAATTATTTCTTTAAAACAGCAAGCAAACACTTTTAAACAAATATACAAACTAAAACAAAGCAAGAAAAACATTGAAAAGTATGTAATAAACCTATATAAATATTCTATAACCTTTGTCAGATTGTATTATTAGGCACATCTCTTAGTCCGCACCTCCCAATTTTAGACCAGTCCTCCGACAGAAACATAGCATCATTGTGCAGCAGCACAATGAACTGACACCGGAGCCTGCTCTGCATGATCGCACTGATCAGACATCCTCTCTTCTCACCCTGTCTTGATGTTGGAAAGTGAAGAGATCTTCTATCTGCACACTGTAAATGTGTCAGGCATGGCCAATGCACTTTTCCAGCATCCCTAGGGATTGGATACTGATTGGTTAGATCAGTGTCCCCCTGGAATGGGCATAGGAAGCATAATAAAGAATCTGGATCTGGTAACCTTACTCATAGCAGGATTTAAATATTGATGTAACCATACAGAATATAGTGGAGGGATACTTTAAAAGTTGATTAGATTATATTTAGCACAAATACATTATTTATCATGGTCTATCAACCTACGACTTCTCCTAAAATATATTGAAAGTCTATTTGTCAATATTTAATTAATAATTCTTGGCAGTAGTATTCAGAGGGCATAAATGATTTCTCCTAAGTGTTTCCGCTGCCCTTATGAGTGCTGTCCTCTCTCTGTCTGTCTATCTAGATTCTATAACCAAGATTCTATATAGAGCATATCTCTGAACATATCATGCATAAACGAGGTGAACCCTAAACATTAAAGAGCTGTATTCTCACCAATGAGTAAGTTGGCATAGGATGTGCTGGCTCCATACTGTTTTTCCAGAAACTTGTTGAGGAATGTGGATAGGGCAGCAATAACTGATGAAAAGCTGCACTGGACCAGAACCAGAATCAAGAAGAGAGGGTTCGTAAGCAATCTTACAAAGAAACGTGGGAAACCTGCAGGTAAAGGAGAGTGTTAATGCTTTTTGCTTATAGACACAACACACAAAAATGGATGAGTCAGGTGACACAACCAATAAACATTATGGGGCTGGTCAGGTTACAGTTACTGTTTCAAGAGTAGATGGACAACACCAATTAATACACCAGGATTAAAGGTTCAGGTGACAGTGACAAACACAAAGCAGCATGTTTTGGGGTATATTGACCAGCACTCATATATTGATGAATGACGTTGGAGAACACCGAATGAGAAATATAGCCTACCTATGGTATAGGCGAATAACACTGAGTAGCTCGCAGTATGGATGTGTAAAAATAACATACTAATAAATGGTAATTTAATACATTTAATGTATAAAGCCATGTAGGCCATTTTTGTAAATATAGGTTTCAGAATAATTCATTTTTATTTGTAACCTCACTACACTAAAAACATAATGTGACATGTTTTTTTGGTTTTTTCTTTCACTGTACCTCCCTTTGATTCTTTCCCTCTTCTCTTACCCCACCTCCTCCCACCATATGGCACTACCTTTTGAAAAATTCAAAAATATCTGAATACAGTTTTTTAAGTAAAAAGCACATTGTAGTACTGTCCCAGCATAATTTACATAGTATAATTATAGACAATATGATGTATATGAAATATACAGATAAATAATTGCCCTCAGATCTCGTTTGTCTGGGTCACAAAATGTATTATGCTTCCCACGCTCCATTGTCCTTTGAAACATTTTACTGTAAGCCCATCAGAGACAACATTTCTTTAAAGACTCCTTGCTCTGTCTCTACTGTGGTAGTGGTACACAAGCACTTGAGAACACCTCAAAAATATTACTTTTTCTAAACATTACAAATTCACGTCATATAACTTAACACACCAATTGACAGATTCTTTTAATCTCAGTTAGGCATAACAAAACCCTACAAGTTGACCAAAAGATAACCACTACTGATCAGTCAATAGATTACTATAAACAGCCTCATTTTACAGTTGTAAAGCATTTAAATTGATTTTAACCCCTTAAGGACACATGACGGGAATTTTCTGTCATGCTGGCTTTTTACTTTTGAAGCTGTGTCCTTAAGGAGTTAATAACTTTAGTCAGTTCGTACACTGCCTCCGGTATGGGAATCTGGTACGGTATGCTTTTCATACAAAATTTTATTTTGCCAGAAACAAGCAAATAAAGGTGACGTAGAGCTAGGCATGTCTGTATCTGTTAGAAGAAAATTTGAAGCTCTCACAAAGTTCTATATTTTCTGAACAAATAGTTCTAAGAAAAGGAAAGTATTTGCACAATCAGCAAAACATATCAAAATGCATTAACACGGAGTGACATCAGGTAGCTCCCCAGCTGTAGTGAAAGTATAGCTCACATGTAGCTTTTTCAGAATAATGGTTGTGGTTCCACCACAGCTGTAGAGCTCCCTGTTTTGTACCTCCGTCTATCGTCATACCTACGTTTATTCATGTTTGCTGTGCCAGCTCCCACACACTATTATTCACTGGGAATTGCTGGGAAACTAGCAAGAAAATGAAAGATTTTAGGCTAAAATAATCAAACTAGAAAAATTCTCTAATTCTGCTATTTCAGCTAGGCTACTTTGACATGAACTTCCCATTTTTGCTCTAAATTTAGCTGTTATCTAACAAACCAAAGTTTAAATATAGATAGTGCTGGGAAATATGGGATATTGGAATCCTTCGAGATGTGTCTGCAATAAATAGAATTGGCCTTTTACTACCATTGGAAGTTTTTCAGGAATAATATGTACCACCAGGTATTATAATTTTATTGTTATTGTGGGCAGATAGCCAGTAAATTAGCATGTGTACAGCCCTTCCTGTGATATAACAGAGGGAACCCCCCGTGGTCCAGTCTGCTTACTCTTAATGAAGTTGGAAAGAGAGCCTTCCTCGGTTGTGACGTCTGGACTCTTTCTTAGAACATTCTCCTCTGTGGCACAATTCTAAGAAAACAAGGAACATAAGTGAGACTGTGGCCGGAGCTTACTCTGGCTTTAATCACAATGTATGACTATTATTTGATCCGGGATATATATAGCAGATTTTATTTCTTTCACTGTAACTGCACTGAGACTGGCTATTTATTTATAATTATAACAATGTTGGGACCACCGGTGGAAGCTCTTTTGTACATTACCCAAGAGTTGGGCAACTTCAACACCTATCACTCTTTGTCACCTCTAAATTTAGCTGGTTGACAGTATCTGCTATTCCCTGTTCTTCGGAAATATGTTGCTGTTTTGGGGACTTGCACATACAGGTTGACCACAATAGCCATCACTCTGCATAATAGGATAATGGGCATCATAGTTTGAAAGTATCTGGACAGGTGAAAGTTGCCCAGTGCTGATCAGCCTTACAAAGATCTGGATTTATAAGAGATATAGAATTTCTTGTATGATATTAAACATTTTCATATTACTGCGATTTTGTTTCTGTCTTTGATAATGTTATTTTCAAATGCTGGTTAATACTTTTTACATTTGTTGAAATGATAAAGAAAGAACATTGTGGAACAATATATGATAGAGGAATTCATACCCTATCAGTCGGAATATACTCCTCATAGTATTTATTCAGAAAACAAAATAATAATAATTTTTAAAAATGATATATATAACTGCAGTTTGAACTTACTCCAGTGTGATCATCAAGCTTGATGACCTGTGCCTAATCAGTTGTATCTCATTGAAAATCATTGTATCCTCTTATCAAATACTGTTGTTTCTCAGAAACGGCACGGTTTTCATTTGCAAGGCTGCAGAGACTCTATACTCCATAATCATGTCATTAAGGCGAACTGATTTTGCTGTAAGGATGATTCCTTTAACTAACAAGACAGCAAATCATAATTAATATAACAGATACATTAGAAGCTTTTACCTTGGATTTTGTCATATGCCGTGGAAAGAAGAAATAGGGTATAGACGTAATCACCATGCATCCAGATGCAATGAGTAGACCAACCCACCAGGCGCCAATCCAGCGGGGGTCGCTTGGGTTGATACTTAGTTCCTCTGAAATCAAAAGCCAACACATCTATAAAAATCCATCCTATCCAGTCCAATATTTTAGTGTTTTATCAAAAGAATAATGGAACTGCACTCCTGTATACCATAACCACTCTAACCTCCATACAATAGTACAACAACAAATGTGGTCCTGGCACACAGGGGTCATTCAAAAGACAGATTTAATGGACTATAGTGTGACACAAGCAGCATCGTTTCGACCTGTTGCTGTATCTGCTCCATTAAATCTGTTATTTGAATAACCCCTGTGTGCCCGGACCACCTTTATTGTTGTACAATTGTTTAGTGCTGTCCTGCTTTGCCATACTCCCTATATATATATATATATATATATATATATACATACATACACATATACGTATATGTCATATTAGGTATCACATCTGTGAAACATTCTCTAGCTATAGGATGACAGACTCAGTGCCAGGAAGCAGGTGTGTATATAGGAATCACCTGAACCAGGGCCAGCCCAAATTATAGCATTCCCTCGAAAAACTAATTTTACATTAAATCCTTGCTTATGTCATTGATTAATGATGTGACATATTCTGAGATAAAATAGAATTCTGCTTGCAACTATGGGCACACATGAGATACTTCAATCCAATTAGTAATAATATAGCAACTACAAAAGAATATTTGCCTATATCCAATCTACGTAAAAAAACATCACATTACCTTAAAAAAGTATATTCGTAATACCCTTCTCTAGAACTAATAGACAGCTTGGCAATTCTGCAAGGTTCTCCTATAGTTCTATAACTTTGTGGAACTAGGGAGTAAGACCCATTCCCATATTTGTTCAAACTCAGATGGTGCTTGAATGTCTTCATAATATCTACTCACCAACGTTTACTCTTCCAACATCAACAAACATTCTGAGGGTTACCGAACCCAGGAGATACCCAAAGGCTGGACCAAAAACAGCCACTGCAAATAGGATGGCTGCAGAAAGGAGAAGATGAAACCTGGGCGTTGGATCATGTACACATCAAGTTAAGGGCTGTTCACCAAACACGTATTCACATACTTGGCTTTACTTACCAATGTATAATGGAGAATTGTTTGGTCCTGCAAAGTCATCTACATAAGAAATGCCAAAAGGCTGGATGGGTACAGTGCCGATACCAGCAAGCAATTGTCCCACTACCATGATTGCCCACATGTTTGTGGCCTCTGGGTTGCTTGATCCAGGTAACGGCTTGCCATTTAGACTTGCACAGGTTGATGTCCTGTTCTCTTTTGTACAGAACTCTCCATAATGAGATTTGTTTCCTGTCCAAAGAAAAACCATGTTGTTAAGTCAACCCAGGTTGAATGCAATTTATCTCTGATTAAAACAATTTTGCTGCTGTTAGTGTTTTTAAATTTGTACCATTTTCCAGTGAAGTGTATTGATACTTGTCAGACAGGAAGTGCGGAAATGTGAGGAGGAATGTGCCTAGACCTAGCAGAAGACCACCTATACCGATAACTCGTGGCCGGTGGATTCTGCTTCCAAAGTAGCTGACAAAGATGATGAGCACAGCGTTGCTGATCTGTGGAGTGAAAAAGGAAAAAAGTCATTATTGGTTTAACTAATTAGAGGATGAAACAGTAACATTGGTCTAAAAAGTTAGAAAAAATCCATGTCTGTCTTGACTTGAAAGAGTTCAGAACAGTATTCTTCAAACTCACCCTCAGAACTTCATCTGTTCATGATTAAAGGAAACCCTTCTATTATTAATATTAAAAAGTGTGCGGTTTTTGTATGATCAATTTCCTTTAGATTTAGTAGTTACTAGGTAATGGGTATTTGCAGCAAAAATGCTTCTTTGGTGTATTTTTTTAAGCATCCTCAAGCAGAACGATGCAGAAAATGGCATATTACTTTCACATTATTTTTACAGCTGCATAAACTACTTCAAGGCCCAACACAATCTCAGCTCAGAGGTGTATGGTAATGATTTATAGCTAATCCCTACGAAGATGATCAAGCAAGGATATAAAGGATATGTAGGAAAGTACATTTGGGGGCATCTAATTCTGATAAAACATCTTCTTCTAAGAGATCTTCTTGATTTGTGTTTACATGTAAAAGATAGATGTACGGGAAGGAAATTCTCCAACAGTATATAGAGGTATTTGTCCTATACTTTGTAAGTCTGTCCACTGTGTCTCACCAAATGACTGACAGGGAATCCCCATCTGAATAGACAGTGAAAAAGTGGATATAACTGAAGAGATTTTTCAGTCCTCTGTGTCTTTTAAGATGAGAAAACGATGTATAATTCTAAATGACTTTACATAGGGAGGAAACGAAATGACGTGGAAACAGAATAATCTCATAATTTACAATAAGAATTAAATCCACCAGTGTGTACCAATATCTCAACTCTTAGTGACTTGAAGTGTTCGTGGTGCCTGGAGTCTGTATGTGCAGCGTTCACCTACAAATGAAGTTTAACCTTTCTGCAGCCAGGGATGTAAGTCCATCTCTGGCAGCGTCATTGGGTAGTCATTAGCTAGCCAAGAACTAGCGTTTTGGGCTGGCATATGTCAATACTTTGAAACTTTCAATGTACAGAAATTAAGTAATTGGCTGAGAGCGGTCAGCATCAGAGCCTAGGAAGACCAGGAAGGGGGACAAACCATCGCTAAACTGTTTTCCAAATTACCGGGAATCAGGTCAGGATACTACTGACAGCATAACCACTGCAGTGAGATGTATATCAACATCTAGTAATAACTTATGGTGACTTGTTAGTGGATGATGATGACAAAGAACACTAGCTTCGAGAGTTTCCTTCCTTGACACTGTTGAGAGAAGTATTGAGAAGGTCTAAATCATGCATCTCTAACTATTGCCCTACAATGCCCAATATTCCCAGGCCATCTATTGCATCCCTGGTCTAATCGGTGTGAGGTATGCATTAATCTGCTTTGTTGAGAGGGAATGCAAATGTTTAGCAGGTTAATCTGCACTGATTGAAGTACCGATAAGGTATGCACTGAACACATAAAGTAGTCAATGTGTATCGAAACATGAGATTCAGTCCTGATGTAAACAAAGAAATACCATATATATGCAAGCTTGAGAAAGGATACAAAGTCAAGTGATCTTAGGTTATAGGTCTTTATTTCAGTTGGATTATTGCATTTATTTACCAAGAGGTGTGCACCGAAATGACTAAAAAGAAATAGGGGCTAATATCTCAACAAGTGTAATATTGTGATGTGAACAAAGTGTACTTGTGTACTGACCTTGGTAGATAGAATATGTGTGTACACACTTCAGCAGAGAAACGTTATTTAGTGATTTAATCAGTGGAACAAATATATAGGACTGACAGTGATTAGTGATATGTTTGCAGGTATGAACAGTACAAAGGTATATAGTTAGGGTGTGAACATGTGAAATCTTTTTACAGTTACACAGACTGTACTTATCTCAATAGTGAAAAATTACTTCCTGGGCTAAGCAGTCAAAAAGAAAATGTCTATGTTGGCCTTCCCCATAAAAGGTCTGTCAAAGAGTAAACATTTAATAAAACAAGCCTTCTGTGGGCTAATGGTGTAAGAATCTGTTGTAAATTACAGGTGAGAATTTCGAGCTGGTCTAGTGACAAGCAGGTATGTAGAAGGCTATCTACAAGTAAGCGGATATATATTAGTCTATCGTTGGGGCACATTCAGAGGTTACTGACCTCCACCTACCCTCACTTACCACATTAAGAAGTTAGAGGGGGTAGGTGGATGCAAATTTTTAGCAGTGGGAACATCTGCATTAGTTTTTTCATTGAAATGTTATGCTTCTCTTTACAAGAGGGAAATTTCAGTTTGTTGCACAGGGCTAGCTACAGTGGTCCAGAAATCTTACCTCATGGATGCTCGAAAGAAGGCCAGAAGAGGAACTTGAAAGCCCAAAGCGTTTCTCTATTGTGGTCAGACTACTCTTGAAGTAGGCACTGTATAGAAGCTGTGAGAGTTGCAGGAGAGCATGGCAAAGCACAAAGACCTATAAGACAAAAGGGTCAGTTGTAGATTAACTTGAAACCGTCACTTTCTATATCAAATTTTCCATGTGAACACTCCATCAAGCTATTGATAACAAACCTGTATTCTACACCTTGTGAACACTGTAACACATAGCTTCAGAAAGCAACAACAGTAAGAATACAGAACACCTGTATAAAAATGATATTTTACCAGCCCATCGAGGCGTTATATAAAGTATTTACAAAAAAATATTTGCTAAAATTAACTGAAGAGTTTTATTTTTCATTTTGTTTTATTGAAGGAAAAACTAACAGCTTCAATATAAACATGAAAAAATGCTTTTAGCCTTTTTAAATGATTTGATACAAAAACAAAAAACAGCAAGTAAAGAGTACAGAATGATTCTTGTCATATAGCTTGCTTCCGTTTGCATTAGTTACATGGGGGACTGCAATTTACAGTAGAGGAAATGAAATAAAAAACACTCTTTCTTATAACCTGAGTGGGCATTGATTCTTGTTTTTTTTTTATCATTTTCTCATTTAGAAATATCTATGGACAAACGGAGGCCGATTAAGTATCTTTGGGGTCACAGGTAGGAGTTCAATAAATTCTCCATAGCTGCAACCTACCTATTTAGTGAATAGGCCCAGTACGGTATGTTGGTAGTAGTCAATTCAGGATGCTTAGATTGACCAGACCATCCCTGGCCTGTTCTATGAGTTATTTACAATCCTGTCCTGAGTAGACTGCTCTTGAAATTGTTCTCGTCATAAAATAGTGAAAATATGTCCCATCTCCCCAAATATAACATTTCTTTTACCTGATTTCAATATTGCTTTAAACAATGCAGTGTTATCCCCTCTGATCCACTTTTGTTGTGGATATTTTCTTTTTTCCACGTGGTGGCAACAAAACGAATTGTGTGTTTATTGACTATATTTCTCAACAGTGGCGTACACATGACCCATGGGGCCCCGGTGCGAAAATTGATCCATGGGCCCCCCCACCCCCGCGCACGGGTCGGGCCGCAACACATGGCGGTGGGCACCTGGTCGCAGGGGTTACAGGGCTGCGACCCCTGCGACCGCGGTATGTACGCCAGTGCATGCAGATGTACACACACTTAAAGGACCACTACAGACACCCAGATCACTTTAGCTCATTGAAGTTGTCTGGGTGTCAGGTCCCTCTAGTTTTAACCCTGCAGCTGAAAACATAGCAGTTTCAGAGAAACTGGTATGTTTCACTGAGGGTTAATCCAGCCTCTAGTGGCTGTCTCACTGACAGCCGCTAGAGGAGCACACTGAACGTCCATAGGAAAGCATTGAGTAATGCTTTCCTATGGGCGGTTTGAATGTGTGCGCGGTTGCATTTGGAGCTGAGAGGCTGAGGGATCCCCAGCGCCAAGGGAGTCCGGCGCTGGAGAATGGTAAGTGCTGAAGACACACACACTTACAGACATACATACACACTCACAAAACATACACTCTCATTGACAAACACGCACTCACTAACAGACATCAAACAGACTCACTAACACACACACTCACTAACACTCACACTAACGCTCACTCTAACACACTCACTCTAACACACACTCACTCTAACACACACTCACACACACTCACTCACACACACACTCACTCTAATGCACACTCACTCTAACGCACACTCACTCTAACGCACACTCACTCTAATGCACACTCTAACGCACACTCTAATGCACACTCTAACGCACACTCTAACACTCACACACACTATAACACTCACTCTAACACATTTTTTTTTTTTTTTTAAATGTAATCCCTCCAGCCTCCTTACTTTTTGGAGTGCTGGGGGGATTCCCTAGGGTCCAGTGGTGCTGCTGGGCTCCTGGGCAGTCGGGTGGCCAGTCGGGCAAGTGGGCGCGCGAGGGAGCACTCAGTGCTTCCTCTTCAGCTCCCTCGCGCGCCGCGTAGGGATGCCGGCGCCGGAAGTGCGGTGCGCGAGGGAGCTGAAGAGGAAGCACTGAGTGCTCCCTCGCGCACCCGCCTGCCCGACAGGCCACCCGACTGCCGGGTGTCAGCAGGGCCAGCCTCGGGGGGCCCTGGGGTGGTCGGCTCCTGGGCCCCCCAGGGGAAGAGGCTGGCCCTGTGGGTACATACCTGGTCGCAGGGGTGGCCGGGCCCCCTGGTGGGCCGGGCCCGGTCGCAGCCGCGACCCCTGCGACCCCGGTATGTACGCCACTGTTTCTCAATATGTTCTTCAGTCAACCTTAAATGGTTACTCAAACCATTATAACCACTTCAGAGATATTTCATATTGTTGCCAGAGACATAATTCCACCTCCAGCAGCTTTCATTAGTCAACCTAGAATGTTAATGGCTAATGTTAATTATGTGCATATTAATAGATTTTCATTGACTGAGAGCACTCAACTGCAACTAACAGAATAAATGAAAGAGTACTGGCTTTCTTATTCTGCCCTTCGGCAGAAGTTGGATATGGCAAGCCACCATTCTTGAAGGCTCAGTGTACAGTGAACCTCACAAATAAGTGGCAACCATTGCAAAATGGTATTCCCCCTTTACATGAAATTTTGCCATAGTAGTCTTGTCGCCATAATCACTATAGCAGGTTGTAGTGGTTAGGATGCCTGGAGAAACCCTTTCATGGCCCTGAAACATCTGATGTTCCAAACATAACTAGCAGCGTTCTAGGAATCTGTTAAGCTTTGTTCATTTGTTTGTTTTTGTTTAGACTGCAGAGTATTCAAATGGCCAAACGCCACAAACAAGATCTTACCCAAAGTAAAGAGAAAAAGCGATAGAAATCAGTTAAACTGAAAGCCGTAACATTATCATTTTGGGTGTGTTTGCCATCCTGCCATATAATAACTTAAAAATAGAGACTGATTTTCCATAAACTATCTGTGATATAGAACAAAACACAAATCATTCAGGACATCAGCTATTTTTTATCTGTGATTCCTTCAAAACCTTTCAGCCCATTGCACAGAGCCTAAGCATTACTTTTTTAATCCAAGAATAATTTCTCATTCTGCAACCGCCTACCCTGTCTCACCTCACACAGTTTGTACTATCAATATTTATTTTACCCTAATTTACCTTCTTACTCTACACTATCTTCAATATCTGAAAAATGTTATATATTTGTTTAGTTAGCTAAAGAATGCACCTGGCAATCCATTCCATTTGGCCCCAGTGCTCTTTACCTCTTGTGAAATTATACCCCACTTCTGTGAGTTTAAAAGCTTTTTTGAGTCCCATAAAAGCACATTCCAGCTATAAGGACGGTTTTTACGTACATTAAAGCTTAAGGAGGGATAACATGCTTAAAATACATGATGGGGGCTTTCTATGTTTTGCATGAAAAAGTCAATTCTTCCGTAAAAAAAAAAAAAATACACTACTTATTTGGTTTCTACTTCTAAAGATACAGTTGCAAATATTATGGCATGTACATGTGTAGCACAGCATTTAAAGTTACTTCAAGTGCACATACAAGTTAATGCAACATGCACATATAACATGAAACATATCTTCTGCACGTGACATCGTATACTTACTTACTGAAACTCAGTGCAACAGCAATCCAAACATAATATCCAAGACAAGGAAATTAGTTTTTATTTACTAAACTTAAAATAAAATTAGCATTAAATTTGGATACAAAGATCTGACTATATTATGAACCCACAGCGCATTAAAATTTCTTAAAATAAAATAATGTTTAACTTACCTTTTTCCAGTGCTGAGGCTGTCGGCTTACCTCTCCACCTCCTGAAATATCACAAAGAAGCATGGCCACATTGGGGTACTCCGCTGATGTCTAATCCAATACTCCTCATAGAGAAGCATTGGGCACCTATTGTGCATGCGCGGCAAGTGCTCTGTGTGCATTTAAACGTTCCCATAGCAAAACAATGAATCAATGCTTTCCTATGGGGCTCTGTCGCATGTAACTACGTTTTACTGACAGCCACTAGAGGTAGACTTAACCATTCAATGTAAACATTGCAGTTTCTAAAAAAACTGCCATGTCTGACATTGCAGGGTTAAAAGGACAGATACACTGCAACCCGACCAATTCATTTAGATGGAGTGGTGTTGATGACTACAGTGTTTCTTTAACAAAGAATTCTGATGTCAGAGCTGCTTGATTTCTTAGAACGGTCTCATGCTTCATTCCACATGTTTTCAAAACCTGTAACCCCACTCCTAACTGGGAAAGCTACATCAAGGATATTCCGATTTATAGTGGGTTTAATGTTTTGATAATACATTTCACAACACTTTCTGATAAAGGAAATGAAAATGTCAATGTCGGATTCTCTGAATGGTTCGGTCAAACGACGAGATGAAGGCTTCCAGATTTCGTAATCTAGGAAGGCATTTTACATTTAATATAGAAGATATACAGTTTATCAAAGACTGCGTTATCAACGTATTATCCAATGCATTGCTCTGTAAAGTTACATTTGTTGAACACGCAAGTCCTTAGTCATCCTGGTGCAGTAGGAAATGGATCAGGAAGAGAGCTGAGCGACACAGACCTTGTACCCTGCCACCTCAGGGGGTGTTTGATGTCTATGCTCCGGACATGTCTGTTTTTAGAATTTCAGGTCACCGGGTGACCAGAGGCAGCAGGATTGAAACCATAATCAAATTCAAACAAAGCAAAGCTGGGAGCCATCACACGGGCACAAGGAAATACAATAACATAGAGGAAAACAACATGTACCAAAAGATAATAGGTGCGTAGGAGACAAAACATTCCAAAGAGAAGCCAAATTTAGATATATGGGATACAACAACTGGCATTAATTTAAAGAAATTACAAATTTAAGTTGGATGTGAGGGCAAGTCATGGGAGAGAATAAAGCATATTTCATTGAAGTTAAACTCAATAGAGGAGAAGATCAGAGGTGACCATCACATCACAAACGATCTATGAAAGATAGTTTTAATGTATCAATGGAACTGAAGCCACAGGGTTGATAGTGAGCAAAATCACCATTGAATCTAAAATATACAGGGTTACTCACAAACATGAAAATTCGGGGTGAATTATTATTATTATTTTATTATTTATATAGCGCCAGCAAATTCCGTAGAGCTGTACAATGGATTCAAAGTGAACTTCAAATTTAAGGTAAAATTTTCTGAACTAGGACAATTCTGCTGTGCTTTCAGGTCACCTCAGGCTGGCTAAATTTGAAATCCACTTTCAATTCACTTTGAATTCTAACCCTGATATAGGGATATTGTGCAAGTTAAATAGTTAATTACTTCAAAAACAGAGTTTATGAGAACAGGAAGTTATATTCCTATCCAGAAAAAAAAACCCTCATAATGGTGGCACACAAATATGAATCTCCTTGAATAAACACGCCAAAATAAACACAAAACAGAGCACAACATTAATAGGACGCTATCCTCACTGAAGTGGTTATTGGTGACTGGAGTCCTCTTTAAAACCGTTCTCAAACAGATTAACACAGAATGTGAGCACCAGCTGCCCTCAACCTAGTCTCTCTGCTTAGTTTGAGACTATATTGTGTTCTATAACATCTCAAATGTTGACATAGAAGCAGAAATAGCATTATTTTTATTACATACAGTAGAATAATAAAAGTTGTCAGCTATCGCACTAGTGTTTTTTTAAGAACTTAAAGGAACACTATAGTGATGGACTACCTATTTAGGTGTCCAGCCCCCCTCGGAATGGAGTTGAAATTTATTTTACTGAACTTTTCTCTAACACTGCGCTTGTCTTGTTGTGGCTGGCCATGCTGCTATGGCTGAGATCATCAATATTGATAATCTCAGCCCTTCCAATGGAAAGCATTGTGAGGCTATTGCGCTGCGCCAATCAGCATCTCCTCAGAGAGATTCAGTGAATCAAACGTTCAGCACCTCCATGCAGAGAGTGGAGATGCTGAATGTAGGTGCTTCACACTGCGCAGCCCTGAAGCAGAAAGCCCCTCTAGTGGCCATCTGAGTGACTGCTGCTAGAGGTGTTACAAGGCAGCAATGTAAACACTGCCTTTACTCTGCAAAGGCAGCGTTTGCGTTGTTGTGCCTGCAGGGATATACTATAGACACCACAACCACTACATTAAGCTTTGGTGGTTCTGGTGACTATAGTGTCCCTTTAATGGCATTTCTGGAATGTCGTTTTGTAAAAAAAAAAAAAAGCCACCAGAATGTAAATATAATTTTATATACTCCTTCTAATTGATCAATGTGCTCAGAGCCCTCACCCCCACGTAGGCTGCGTGAGCAGACCACCATGCACAGGCCCCCTGAGATGCAGAGGGACAAAGTTGAGGTCTGGTTAAAAAAAGCCAACATGTTTCTCTGCAGTACAAACATCAGCCCTCGAGCAAAGTGGAATGTAAGTGGGGATTAAAGAGCCTTGCAATGCAAAATGAAACTTAGCGTGAGTACGTTCATTGTTGGATTGACTTGGGAGGGAAGGAGTTAATAAGAAATATAGAAATTAAAATTTTTAGAATGTGTTAGAAATCATTTTTCATGTCAGGTCAGATTCAGTGGTCAAAATCTCTACATCATAAAAACAATATATTTAACAATGATACAGTATACTATTCATAGTGTTTTCTAAAAGTACAATCTCATTTAGAGTCAGTTTAATAGTCTTATGATCACGTTGGCGCCTTTTCAGTTGTAATCCACCTTCTCTAAGGATTACTGAAGTATGTACATATGAGTAAAGAATGTGTTATGCTATTATTGCAACACAGTTTTTTCCTAGTGTCATATTTTAATGAGCCAAGGCCCACTCATTCAAAGCTATAACAGGACATGCAAAATTTGAGGTATAGTTTGCACCCGCCATGCATGACCGCACTGTACACGAATTTGTACAGGTAGGAGAAACTACAACTGCCTCCTGTAATGTCACCGGGTTGACGGTGGGCTTACAGCTGCAGTGCTTATTATAAATGGCCACAACATTAAGTTTTCTATTTATTCAATTAGTTGGGCAATAGGATGTGAGTAGTAAAGTATTTGAATAATTTATTAACTAGAATGGTTAGTGCTGGAATTTCAATTATTTATCACTATTACTCAGATATTAGTTATAAAATGAGTGTCTATTCTAATGTTTTATGTGCTGTGAGTCATGGGAAATATGAGTAAAATTACTTCCTCTAAATTAAAGGGAACTTGATATTTTTAATTTCCCAAATTCTTTGGAAATTAAGGCGTCAATGAGCAGATGTGTGTCTACTTGCTAGTAACGCACACATATATTTACTGCATTATTTGCCAATAAAAAAATTATTCTTCCTTGATAAAAAAAAGTAATCAGTGTTATTGGTCTAAAAAGCAATTTTGGAATATAAAAAACAATTACACAAAGTGTTTTTATAGCATTGCATTGGTTAAAGGGACACTGTAGGCACCCAGACTCCTTCAGCCCATTGACGTGGTCTGGGTTCCAACTCTCATCATGCTTAACCCCATAGGCGTGCGCACGGGGTGTGCCGGGTGTGCCTAGACACACCCTAATCCCCGTGGCCGGCGATATGTGCCTCCCTCCATGGGCCTGTGAGGGAGATCCAAGATCTCCCTCACCAACCCACAGGAAGTGAGGGAGGCAGGAGAGGACCCGGGGAGCTCTTGCAAGCAGCTCCACCGGGTTCCTCTTGCGAGGTCGGAGCAGCGGCAACGCTCAGATCTTGCGAGGATGAACTCTAGCCCCGCAGGATACGGGGCTATAGTTCACTCACCACTGGACCACCAGTGATGGCAGCAGCACGGTCCCCCCTCCCTACAAAAGGTAAGAAGGGAGGGGGGATATTAACTAAATGGCCCCCCACCCCCACACAATACACACAAACATACAGCACACACACACATCCATCACCCTTACACACACAGGACTCACACTAAAAGCACCCTTACACACACAGCACCCTTACACATACACACACACTAACATCACACACACAGCACCCTTACACACAAATACATCACCCTTACATACACAGCACCCTCACACACACACAGCACCCTTACACACACATACATCACCCTTACATACACAGCACCCTCACACTAACAGCACCCTTACACACACAGCGCCCACACACACACACAGCACCCACACACACACAGCGCCCTCACACACACACACACACACATCGCCCTCACACACACAGCGCCTTCACACACACACACACACACAGCGCCCTCACACACAGCGCCCTCACACACAGCGCCCTCACACACACACACAGTGCCCTCACACACAGTGTCCACACACACACATAGCGCGCCCTCACACACACACAGTGCCCTCACACACACATAGCGCGCCCTCACACACACATAGCGTGCCCTCACACACACAGCGCTTTCACACACACAGCGCCTTCACACACACAGCGCCTTCACACACACAGCGCCTTCACACACAGCGCCTTCACTCACACACAGCGCCTTCACTCACACACAGCGCCTTCACACAGCACCCTTACACATATACACACACAGCGGTATATATGTGTGTGTGTGTGTATATATATATATATATATATATATATATATATATATACGCGGCATGTGTGTTTGTGCTTTAGGCTGCACACTCTTATACAATGGGCTGCGCACGCCTATGCTTAACCCTGCAAGTGTAGTGTCGTTTACAAAAACTGCAATAATTACCTTGCAGAGTTGTCATCCTCTAGTGGCGGTCTGCCAGACAGCCACTAGAGGGACTTTTGGTTTCTTAGACGACTTTTGGTCGTCTAAACGACACTGGACGGCCTCACGCTATGCATTAGGACCTCCAGCGTTGCCGGAATCCCCGTGGAAAGCATTGAATAATGCTTTCCTATTGGAAGGTCTAATGTGCGCACAGCCATTGCCGAGCATGCGCTTTAGTTCTCAATCGCCGGCGGGGTGGAGTGTGGGCGCTGAGGATTAAGGTAAGTGCCTGAAGTTGTTCTAACCGCTTCAGCGATGTGGGATGGGATGGGATGGGGGGGGGGGGGCACTCCAGGATTCTACAGTGCCAGGAAAACAGATTTGAGAATCCCTTTAACCCCTTAAGCACACATGACATGTCATGATTCCCTTTTATTCCAGAAGTTTGGTCCTTAAGGGGTTAAACAAAAAACAAAGACAAAAATAGTTTTTCTCTTTTTTGTCACATGTCAGCAAGCAACTTGCTCCCTTACCACAGCAGTAACAGGATCTGCCGGACTCACCTGTACCATTGGAGAACCGGTGTGCCAACCTTTTTCTGTCCTTGATCAGGTTTATTTTTTATTGTTTTGTACAATAGTACTCAATTGTGGCTGGTGAAGTTTAAAGATGGTTAGCGCTCTGCTCCATGACTTGTTGGCTAACACAAAACCCCACGAGATGCTACGTCCTGTTCATAACCAGCTGCATCTCCAGTTATTAATAAAAGGGGGGAATGCAAACTGCTGATATAATCATGACAGACGTGTTTATTCTAAAAAAATGTCGATAGATTTTATTTATATATTTTTTGTAACAAAAATTGGGTTGGTACTTCCCCACCTGCCCATATAATCCAGACCCCACCGATATTACTGCTAGATTTCAGTTTACATAGTTACATAGGCTGAAAAGAGGCATGGGTCCATCATGTTCAGCCTTTCTTTCTCTTGTCTGTTGCTGCTGTTCATCCAAAAAAAAAAAAAAGACAGTTTCAAGAACTATCCAATTTTTCAACAAACTAGGAAAGAAAATTCCTTCTGGACCCCAAAATAACAGTAAGATCTCTCCTTGGATCAAGAAGCTTTAAACCCAAATATCAAATATTATATCCCTAAATGTTATGTTTTTGGAAGTTGGAACGCATACACACATGTGCGCTCTGGGACATTTATGCACATTACTCTTTATGATACAAGGACATACATGTAGGGCGGAACTGGAAGTACACCGTGCATCCATGGATGACACGCATGTGGTAACATATTGTCCCTCCTCCACAGAGCACCCATTGATGGTAGGTGGTGGTCCTAAATAATTATGGGGGTATCGACCTATTGTTCTCCCCAGCTCCCCCTTTTCATGCCTGGTGGGGGCCTGATAAAATATTGAAGAGTGAACCTATTGTCCCCCCAGCCACTTGTGGCAGGTGAAGGGGGGTATAAATAATACTATTGTCCCTGCAAGCCTCCACCCATTGAGGATGGGTAGGTGACCTAAATAAAATTGGGAGTGGACCAATTGTCTTCCCCAGCCCTACCCACTGGCAGCAGGTTGAGGTCCTAAATAATTAAGGGGGTGTCCTGTGTATAGTCATATTAATAAATACATTTCCATACAATGGTTTGTGTTGGCCTGAATATATTTATATAATGTTATCATATCCCTCTGAGCCGTCATGTAAACTAAACAGATTTAAAGTAACCCTATTGCGTTAGGTACCTGAATTCCTAACGCTATAGTGCCCTATCTGCGGACTTGTTTTAGCTCCTCTTCCCTGTTTCCAGTTAAAATCTGGAGAAAATTTATTTTACTCCAGTGCCAAGACAACGTCCTGGTCTCAAGTTCATGGCCAATCCAATGCTCCGGATTGCACTTCCAAATTCTTCTCAGAGGAAGTATTACATTCAATGCTTTCCTGTGAGCTTCAAAGTCACTTGACCAAATGTTACTTGTAGGTGCTGCAGAAGCACCTCTAGTGGTTGTCTAGATTACTGCCTTTAGAGAAGTGTTAAATCCTGCAATGTAAAGATTGCAGTATCTAAAGAACTGCATTAGTTTACATTGTTTACAAAATGACAGGACCACTGCATGCAGACTACATTAAGATGAAACAGTCTGGATGACGTTAGTAGTCCCTTGAATTTTTTAACCTTTCTTCTCAACTAAATCTTCCACTCCCCATATTCATTTTGTAGCCCAACCTACACTTTCTCTAGTGCCATAATATCTTTATTTAGAACATATGCCTACAATTGTGCAGCATATTCAAGGTGTGGTCTTACCTCTTATAATGAATATACCTTGCATCTGAAATTGTTCTATGTTAAATTTTGTATATATTGTGTATTAATATTGTTTTTGTATTTTGTTGTACCTAATGTAACAATGCAATGATTTGTGGACCCAGGACATACTTGAAAACGAGAGAAATCTCAATGTATCTTTCCTGGCAAAATATTTTATAAATAATAAATAAATAAATAAATCGCCTGTAAATGTATAGGTTAAAAGACAAGACATACTTACCTGATGTTCCATCCCTTCTCCTGTAACATGCATCCTGGGGTCGGTTCCTTCCCTACATGACGATTGAGGTGACTGACGTGTCTCCATGTTTGTAGTCTTTATCTCTGTCTTTATCTTTGCAATGCGCTTTCAAGTAAAGTGGGATCAAATCCCCTGACCCTCTTTTCCATCCAAATGTCCCTTTATCTCGTAAGCACCATAGGGTTGGTGTGTCTGAGTGCAGAACTGAGCTCCACAGAATAATACTCTCAGTAATGTGTCTTTAAACTAGAAATGGGTTTAGAAATCAGTTTGTGTAAATAATATACGTTGTTCTTGTTCTAAATTATATTTTAGTTGCATATCTTAATAGAAAGTATCCTAAAATTCTACAGCCATTAACAGCCACCCTTTCATACCCTAAAATGTAAGTGTCCCTCTTTGTATTTTGAAATGCTGGGAAGTATGTTTTTTTGCTTTTATTTTTATTGTGAGAATTTCTGTAAATCGGGATTAGGCACCACACATTACTATGAGTTTTATTGCTTCTATTGCTGTGAAGCTCTGTGATATACACACCTCATATCATAACTCCTTAGTGTCTCTATTTAAGAGAGACATTTCCTATTGTTGGTCCAAATCCCTCTGCCCCTTCTTTCTATCCCAATGTCCCACTTTTCTAGGAACTCCATATTTTTTGTGTGACTAAGAGTGTACCAGAGCTCCATATATGTGTCTGGTGCTAGTGTGTTTAAATGCAGGTAATTGTATTTAATAACAGTACTGCACTTAAAGGGACACTGTAGGCACCCAGACCACTTTAGCTCATTGAAGTAGTCAATTAGTAAGTCATTTATTATAGGTTCTCAGAACAGCCCCATTCCCATGGCTACACTCCATTCCCATTTGAAACTTTAGGATGTATGGCATACTGTGGCGAGTTTCATTACGGTGGAGCTCTGTGATATATTTATACAGCAAAATTATTCTGACTGACTAGACAAAGGGGGCATCATAATATGAAATAAGAATGTGTAGGTGTCTCTCTTATAGATGGGCAATCTCTCTTGAGGGGTGAGGGTGTTTTTAGGTAAACCACCCTGACAGTTTGTAAAAGAGTGACAGTTACTGACAGATTTACATATCCAATGTATCAATACTTAGAATTTAACATTATACATCCAATACTATGAATAATTACTTTGCCCAGATCACCATACCCTGGGCCTCTCCTGGCACCACAAGCATTAAGTCACATGTTTGAGTTCGAACACGTTTGTGGTTTCCATCTCCCTCCAGTAATACTTTCACACCAGCATTGGCAGAATATCCGTCCATCAGAGCTATGGAGACACCTCCCTGATTTACTTCTCGGTCAAAGATTATTATCATTATACAAGCAGCAACAGAAAAATATATAAATGGCTGAACATAATGTTCACTTTGGACACGGTGACATATCTCCCCTCCCATGATTTGAATGGCTCTTGCACAATGAAAGTTACATTCTGCATGAAGTCGCTTTGGGCCAGATTACAACACATTCCACGTACGGCTAGTACTGGAGATCGCATAACTCTGTCACTAAGGGCTAGACTGGGATAACAAATGTGCCCGGGCATTTTAAAGCCCAGCAGTCCTCTTTCAACTCTTGAGCCAAATTCATATTCTGTGAAAAGCCAAAAATAACATTGCAAAGTTAATGAGCCAAAACGAACATACATATTCCTACGTAAAATTGATATATGCCAAATACATTACAATGGGGTTTATTATTTATACATTTGAAAATTATAGTTCATTTTCCTTCCTTTCTAATGTGACTACAAATTAGAATTTCACTTTTTAATTTTTCACAGGCCTCCTGGTTAATTGAATAAACCCCTGGGTGTATTCATTTGTGTGTGTGGAGGAATATGTGTTAATCCTCATTAGTGCTTGATTGTTTAGAATCAGTGGGAGAACACATCTTTATTTGCATACAGTGTCTGTGTGAATGTGTGTTTGTGTATAGCATCAGCAGGTGTGAATGCAAGGAAGCATTAGAGTGTGTTTCATTGTACTGAATAAATAGTGTTTATGTGAATAAATGGACATTATATTACTGTGTATTTGCATATAGTGAAACTGAATTCATGGCTGCATTTGCATGTTGTCAAGGTAGTAGTACATTTATGTGTTGTGTCTGTTAATATAAGAATATATGTGTCTGGTGCTAGTGTGTTTAAATGCAGGTAATTTTATTTAATAACAGTACTGCACTTAAAGGGACACTGTAGGCACCCAGACTATTTTAGCTCGTTGAAGTAGTCAATTAGTAAGTCATTTATTATAGGTTCTCAGAACAGCCCCATTCCCATGGCTACACCCCATTCCCATTTGAAACTTTAGGATGTATGGCATACTGTGGTGAGTTTCATTACGGTGGAGCTCTGTGATATATTTATACAGAAAAATGATTCTGACTGACTAGACAAAGAGGGCGTCATAATGTGAAATAAGAACATGTAGGTGTCTCACTTCTAGATGGGCAATCTCTCTTGAGGGGTGAGGGTGTACATTGCAGCACTAAGTGCAAAAGGGTCAAGTAGTCAATGAGCTAAAGTGACCCTTTTGCACTTAGTGCTGCAATGTAAAACATGTTTACATTGCAGCTCTAAGTCTGTACACTGTGGCTGTCTGTGGTGGCGCTTCCGGAATCCAAGTGTCTTTTGGTCCGTTATCTGACGCTGGACGTCTTCACAGACCTCCAACCATAGGCGTGCGCACGGGGTGTGCCGGGTGTGCCTGGGCACACCCTAATCCCCGTGGCACGCCTATGGCTTGAGTCCTGCAGGAACAGCGTTCCTGCACTTTTTTTGAGCAGGAACGCTGTTCCTGCAGGCACTCAGCGCCCCCCTGTCTCACCTCTTGCCCCTGTCATGGGGGAGGGGGGGGCAAGAGGTGATGGATTACCCCCCCGCCCCCCCCCCTCCCCGCAGTTCAGCCGCGGCGAGGGAGCTCTCTGCTCTCTGCTCTCTGCTCCCTCTCGCCGCGCGCTGATGCCGGGAGCCGGAATATGACGTCATATTCCGGCTCCCAGCTCCAGCAGACAGCCCGCGCGGCGAGAGGGAGCAGAGAGCAGAGAGCAGAGAGCTCCCTCGCCGCGGCTGAACTGGAGAAAGGCGCCCGCCCCCACTGGACCCCAGGGACAAGTCCACCAGCACTCCAGGTAGGAGGCTGGGTGGACATTTAAAAAAAAAAAAATATATATATAATAATGTGTGTGTGTGTGTCAGAGTGTGTGTCTGTGAGTGTGTGTGAGTATATGTGTGTGTCAGTGTGTGTGTGTCTGTGAGTATGTGTGTGTGTCTGTGTGTGTGTGTGTGTCTGTGAGTGTGTGTGTGTTTCTGTGAGTGTGTGTCTGTGAGTATGTATGTGTGTGTGTCAGTGTGTGTGTGTCTGTGAGTGTGTGTGTGTGTTTCTGTGAGTGTGTGTGTGTTTCTGTGAGTGTGTGTGTGTTTCTGTGAGTGTGTGTCTGTGAGTATGTATGTGTGTGTGTCAGTGTGTGTCTGTGAGTGTATGTGTGTGTCTGTCAGTGTGTGTGTGTGTACATATATATACACATATATATATATATATATACACATATATATATACACACATACACACATACACACGCAGAGCCGGCGCTATCTGAGTGCCAGCTCTGCTCTAAGCCTTCATGGGCCGGCGGGGAGACCAAAGATCTACCTCACCGGCCCACAGCAGCTTGGAGGGAGGCAGTAGAGGACCCAGGAAGCTCTAGACAGAAGCTCCGCCAGGTTCCTCTCGCGATATCTGAGCGACAGTACACTAACCGCACCCTCACAAACACACACAGCACCTTTAAAAAAAACACAACACCCTCACACACAGCACACTAACAGCACCCTCACAAATAGCACCCTCACAGGACAAACATACACACACAAACACCCTCACACACAAACAGCACAGTCACAAACACGCACCCTCACACACACATAACACTAACAGCACACAGCACACTAACAGCACACACAGCTGTGTGTGTGTGTGTGTGTTTATATATATATATATATATATATATATATATATAGAGAGAGAGAGAGAGAGAGAGAGAGAGATACATACACACGCGCGTGGCGTGTGTTTGTGCTTTAGGGTGCACACCCTAATGCAATTGGCTGCGCACGCCTATGCCTCCAACGTCAGATTTTCCCCATAGGAAAGCATGGGCAGAGCCTGACATTGGTGCAGGACATCGGCGCAGGATTCAGGTAAGTGGCTGAAGGGGTTTATTTTGTACATATTTTGCCCCATGTATGATAATAATAACTAGTAATAACCAGGTCTATAGAAGTGCTCGGGTATCTTTCGCAGGTATTCCATCTAAGCTCTGTGTTTACTTTGTGGAGATTAAAGTATAAAAATTTAAAAAAAAAGTATTCTAACTTTATTTCCTCCAGGGCCAGAGCAATGAACGTGAGCATACCATGTGATGTGGACTATGATTCCTGGATTAATAGTCTACCAACAGGTTTTCTTAATGGTATGGCAACATTCCGCATTACTAAATATGAAATCATCCGAACTAGTATCAGTCTGACATGTTTGTGCTATTTATTGACTGTCAGATCAGTAAATTTCAATCAGATATGTCTGACGATGAAACTTTGACCCAATTACTTAATTCCGTTAATCTACAATGCACAAAATTGCTGTACTGACACCGTATTAGTCTAACCTTCTTTCAGTTATTTCAGAGGCACCATGTATGAATCGTCTGGGAGGAATTCTGTCTGATTATTAGAAGTGTCAAATTGAAAGGGTTGGTAAAATCTTTAAAGGTTAACTTTGTTTCCTATAGAAGAGGTGTCTCCAAGAAAGTATTGCAGGTGTTGGCATAGGTGATTCACTTTAAAATGTCAGTGACATTATTCGGTTAACATGGACCTGTTAGTCCCCGTACCTGTCTATTAGCGGCCCCTACCCTGACTGCAAACAGCTATTGTCTTATTTTTAGATATATTTTGCATATGAGGTAACTGTGTTTCCTCCAAATCATAGGGAAGGATGGAAAGCTTGAGAATAATTATAATTAGCATCTATACTTATTTCGCTATGCTTTATAATATTATCAAGGCGGGGGGGGGGGGACAGTAACAAATGAGGCAAACTGTTACAAATTTTGACAGTAATAGGTTAATGAGAATCCTGCTCAAACGAGGGTACAATCTAGAGGATTCTGAAGCTACAGACGCCCGGAATATAAACCTGAGACTGAATGTTGCCATGTTACAAACCTAAAGTGACATTCTAACGCAGTTTGTCATAACAGTTATCATTATTGCGCTTGGTAATGATACTGGGTACAGCAATGTACCCCATGATATCTAGAAAGAAACAGCTACCAATTACAGCATCTTAAAGGCAAATACTAGTAACTCCCGGTCTCCTATAAACCAAAGCCTCTATCCCTAACTACACCCAATAGTATAGACCCCTAACCTTAACCTCCTCACTATGCAATGTCATTATTAACATTGAAAATGTTTTAACGGCACGGTGTTCAGATGAACTAAGTGGCATTACTGTGTTGCTATAGCAACATGGGCATTTAACATTTACTATTTCAGGCAGTGCATGCGTGCCCGTATAAGGATAGAGGTAAAGGGCCTTTGTCATTCATTAAACTGCCAGATGAGACAGTTAATTAACACTGGAAACATACGGCTGTATCATTCTCTGTATTTTAGCCCTTGTTTAATGATGTAATAAAGAGATTATCCACTATATCTTCAAATTAGGTGACAATCTAGCAGACCTGCAGGGTCATAGGCTCAGGGAAACTGATTTATAACTGTACAGGTGGAATAAAGGTAAAATTGCCTTTCAGGTGAAATGGCACGGAAACTTATACATTGTGATAGATAGTAACAGAAGAGATTAGTGACTTTTGTAGACTGCATATCCCATGATGCTCAGCTACAGTGCAAAAGGGCAAGCTTCACTGGTATAAATGATGGTATAGATCTATTAAGAGACATCACTGTAAACAGAGTTTGTTCTTGTAGACTCTGAACACTTACCTCTCTTTTTGACTAGAAGAGGGGTAGACTTCGGCACTCCAGAAGCTATGGACTACATCTCCCCTAAAGCTTTGCCAGCATTATGGCTACAATAGCATGATGGGAGATGTAGTCCATGACATCGGGAGTGCCAAAGGTTGCCTAACCCCGGTTTAGATGGTTTAAATGTATTGTTTTCCTTTTATTTATAATAACCTGTTATTTCAGCATGTTTTCACTTGGCCTGTTACTTAGATAAATAAAGTAGAACAACATTCTGTGTTCTGCCTGGCAAATCCATTGGTTGCAAATTATCAGCATATGGAATGTATTACTTTTCATTAAAGGCAGTGAGTCATTATGTTTTAACCCTGAAAACAAGCCCTTGCTTTTCACGTCAACCTGTCAGTCAGTTCCACTTAAATTTCTAGATGATGTAGTCTCTGGGGTACCCTAACAAATATCTGTTTACAGTTTGGCAATGCCACTATAACGTTTGCATGCCCATTTTCTCTAGCAGTTATTCCTGCCAACCATAAGAAACAGCTTCACTACATCATTCTCCTCATTTCCAACCAACAAATACTATTTCTGCCTCTTCTGGATCCTAGCAGCAGTCCTTCAGTTCAAGGTAAGGTATATTTTGTTATGCAGTAATTTATGCCCCAGAACCCATCTGTAATGCTAATGAAAAACAATAACATTTGTTTGTATTCTTAATTTCCCCACTGCTTATATATATATATATATACACACACACACATTGTAGAGGTTATTTTTATTTAAAGCTAAACTGGTTTTAGAGAAACTTTCATTACTTTGTTCTCTAAAATAAATGCAACCCTGCATTCACAGAGTTTTAATTATGTGCAAATACACAGTAATATAATGTACATTTATTCTCCCAAATGTCCCTTTTCAGTTACTGACCACAGTGTTTTGCAGCCCAAAATCTTTTCTAGGGTATTATATAACTCCTCAGTAATACAACAGTAATGGGTATGTAATCTATACTAATATGTTAAGGAATTAGGGTGTTGGAAGGTATATAAATGTATTACTCATTAAAACAAAAAATGTATTACTCATTTAAACAGATGATGAAACCCTCTTAAAATTCAAATTCCCAAACAGAATGTGCAATAAAGGAGGTTTCAAAATTGAATCTCGCGTTACAGGAAGTGTTTATGGAAGCCATGTAGGTCATATGCAGGGAGGTGTGGCTAGGGCTGCATAAAAAGTAGTTTAACTCCTAAATGGCAGAGAATTGAGCAGTGAGACTGCAGAGCATGATCTATACACCAAAACTGTTTCATTAAACTAGCATTGTTTTGGTGTCTTTTGTATGCCTTTAAGAAGAATATTTTTTGTACATGTATCAGAAGTATTCTTTCTGTATTCTTCAATCACTTGTCATCACTCATCCTCCACCTTGTTTTTTTACATGGTCACTATATCGCTTACACAAAGTTCCACAAAATACTTGAAATGAGATTATGAATGGTCATCCCATTCATATATAATCACCTTCAGTCCCCCTTTCATGATCAGTTCTCTTTTGGCTCCTGGGGCCAAAGTTAGCTATTTTGGCCAACAATTTTCAGTTTTTATGTTATTTTACAATTTCTGAGTTAGGAAGCAAACCCCCCCATTTTTAATGTTTAATTTTCCAGACTTAATATTTACTGTAGTTTATTAAAGAGCATCGCCCTAGCTAATAGTGTCCTCAGCCGACCTCTCTTCAGCATAGTTTTGTTCTTGATTACCGACCAATCTATATTTTCCCCTGCATATTTTTCTTTAGTTATTTCGTGTCTCCACTGAAAAATGTAAATTTACCAAAATGTGTTTTTTTTTTCCCTAACATGTTTGTAGCTAATTCTTTCTTACAGGGACAAAACTGGATAAAGTTAAATCTTGATTTTAAGCCATTTCAGCATATATTCATGCGAAAATGTACTAATACGATTAAAAAAGAAAACAATTAAATAACTACATATATTTTGGCATTAACAAGGTTTACAGTGAGCTAAAGTGCAACTGCCTATCTGGTAATTTTTTTAAGGGGCGTGCTGGACTTCTCTTCTAAAACTACGGCTTGCAAGGGCATGCTCTACATATATGGTATGGAGGTAGTTTTATTCATAAAAAGAAATGAATGAAACTACTGTGCTAGATTATAGAAGTTGTGATTTCAAATAATGTGGTGATGTTACTTGAACAGGGTGGGGGTGAGGGGGGGCTTATGACGACAAATATTTATGCAAATGTTTCAACAAAATTCTAGCGTGTTTTTGCGGGGGTGGGGGTGGCAATGTTGAAGCTTCAAGTAGACCTCTGAATAGAACCCAGAACACATTCTCATTGTTAGCTCTCAGTGGTACTTTGTGGTACTGACATATGAATACAATTTTAGATTACAGTTTTTCCAATAATCACTTCCACTGATTGTCTCAGTTATGAAATTACAAATGATGTAATTATGTAATCATTTAATGTACAAGAGGCAGAGTTTTAAATAGCAAACAAATATAAGTTGGAAGGGGCTATAAAAGGATCCATTTGGCTAAAGCCCCTTGTCTGTTCATCACCTATAAAAAAAAAATCCAGGCTGAATACTGTTAGACAATGGACAGTGGAGCTTCTTGTAAGGGTAATAGAACTTATAGGATCCCTTAAACCATTCCACTGATTGGTTCTGTGGTAGCCCAACCTAGCAAATGTACAAATTAAATCTCACTGTATACTTACTTCTGACCAAATGCTTGCTAGGATATGGCCCACTTAACGCTGCATAGTGCACGTGTTTTAATACGTTTTGGGAAAGTTGGGTTTAATGCACCAGAACACTATCACATATAATTTATTAGGTGGAGATCTTGCTGGCACCACCCACACTTATCATATCTGGCCTGTAATTAGGTAATGCAATCAGGCACCTAGAACACTTACCTCCACTTTGCCTTTATAGTGTGCATGCAGTTGGGGCACACAGCACATGCAGGGTAGGTTCTCTCTCCTCACTGCATGCACAGTCTGTATCTCTGTCGATCTCTGCCCATAGTAAAACACAGGATAGCCACAGTATGACTGCTATCAGTTTACAATCCGTGTCCAGTCACCCTATGTGATATGGCGGGGGATAAAAACATCTTATCCTATAAACCTCTGTGGGCAGGAGTTTATGGAAGACGATCAGCACCTATACGTCCGAATGAGATGTGCCTGTTTAAAGATGTTCCTAAGAGGTGTTTAATGCAAAATTTAGATGCATTATCAATATATGGCACGTATAGGTACGTATAGGCTTCTGGGCAAACAACTACTGGAGGTAAATCCTTTTAAAAAGATTTAACTCTCTAAGGTAAGACTTCAGCCCCTATAACAACATCATTGAAATAAAGTAATTATATGGGCGAAATATCCTTTAAAAAACCCAGAAACAAACAAAACAAAAAAAAAACTTACCGGGGTCAGTTTTTAACTAAAACAACCCAACACGCTAATGCAGATTGTCTGTTAAAGGGAGAGCAGCAGAATGTATTGCTTATACAACAATATGTTGCATATTCCATAAATGGCAAGTTCTGTACATCATGTGCCATCCACTAAACCTGCTAGCACAGGAAATAATTGCTCTCAATGGAAAGTGGGATAGTAAACAATTACATCTGAAATATACTCAGCAATGAGAGAGTACTTGTTAATGGAATAGCCTTGCCTCAGTGGCTGGCAGCCTGCACACTACAATATTTTTAACAATGACTGAATGCATAGACACGGCCAAAACTCAATGTAGGAGTTGAGACTTTATAACTGCTAGCACTGTAACTACAATAAATAGTCCCTTTCGCAGTTCAAATAAAATCTGTATTTTCTGCACTTTGTTTTAACAGCCAGTCCTGGATTCATTCTCTAAGCGTTTGTTTTTTCCTGTATATTCCTCAGTATATTTTACATTTTTTTATTTTGCCACAGCACTGCAGGAGGTTTATTTTTGTGTTTTTTTAAGTTTATTTGCATTTATTTTTAAAGATCTACTGCTTATATTATTAACAGGTTGGTTTAACTATTAAACTCAGAATAGTAGGAAATCGACATTCGAGTTGAAGAATTCAGGTTAAATAAGTCAAACTGTAATTTAACCTGAGTTGGATCATTTTTCCAGATCAGCTATTTTTTGCCAAAATGTTTGTTACAATTCGGAATTTAGTGAATTAGAGCTGAAATACTTGTGGATGTTTGTGAATTATCAAAGGCTAGCTGAGCATTATGGGAAATGCCCTTCCCAAATTATAGTTTTCATATGTTTTATATGTTATGTTTTAAAATAAAAACTATAAACAATGGAGCAAAAATAAAAATCTAAATCTTAATTTCCTGTGCAATCTAGGGAGACTAGTCAGGTTTGTAAAAGAGTAGCAGTTTGCTAAATAAATAGAAACACAATCATATCTCCCAATATTTCAAATGGACAAAGAGGAAGACTTTTAATTTAAAGGTGTGAGTGTGGTCTGGGGTGGGGTTGTGCTGATAAAATGAGGTGATTTACTAAAAACAATTCATGCAACTAAAATGTAATTTAGAATAAAAACAATGAGTCTTATTTACAAAGACTGATTTCTTAACATTGAAGTTCAAAGACACATTTCTGTGAGTGTTATACAGCAACTGTATGGAGCTCCTAGAAAAGAGGGACAGAGGAACTTGGACCCAAAATAGGGACTGTCCCTCCAAAATAGGGACAGTTGGAAGGTATGTTAAATAAATGCCTCTCAGAAGAGATTTCATTACATTTTACAAATTAAGAAACATTTTATTGGCTAATAATATGACTTGGCACACTGTTTGTTTTTTTGCTAAAAAATGACAGTGTCACAGTACTTATTATGATTGCAATGACAAGTGACACATTCCGAGGGTTAACTCCGGTTAGTGACATCAGACATAAAGTCCATTTCTTGCAACTGAAGCTGATACTTTTAAATAGCACTTCAACAATTAATGTCATTGTAGTTTCACCTGCCATGTACAACAAGATAAGAAAGATAAACATAGAATGGCAGGCGTGTTGAACTGTAATTAACTAGATCTGATGTCACAAGGCTGGCTAATTGTAAATACAGAGGTGTGGAACCAGTTATGTTGAACTCAGCCCAATTACAACGCTTGTACTAGTATGTGTTCAGGACTTAGTAAGTGACAGTCACTAACAAACAAATGGCCTTTCTGTCTTGGATGCTGGATGATTAAAGTGATTAAATAAACTGCAATGTGTAATGTACTAAATTGTACTCTGCTACAATGCATCATTTTCCGCATTGTAATAATAAACTTTTGTGACCTGTGTTGTAAAACAATGTATCCCTCGGGCAGGTAAGGTTAGTTTAGAAACTGGAACGGCCTGCACATTCCTTGTTTAGGGACAGGTTTACAAAGGGCTTGGAAATATAGTACGGCATATCTCAAGTTGAAGTCAAGTGCCCCCTAACAATTAAAACAACAACAAAGTTTTATTTACCTTTTTCCAGAGCTTCTGACCTCTCTGCCTCCCACAAGGTAATGGAGGTGGAATGGCCTCTTATGACATGGTACAATTCAATGCTCTTCGCAAGAGGACCATTGAGGACCTAATGGACTTGCGCGGTAAGCACTGCAAGTGCATTCTAGCTTCCCAATAGGAAAGCATTGAATCAATTATTTTCTGTGGAGGCTTCCATGTCACGTGTCATTGCAGCAGAAACACCTCTAGTGGCTGTCAGTATGACACTAGACACTAGAGGTGGAATTAAAGCTGCAATGCAAACATAGTTTCTAAACTGTGCAATGTTTTACATTGCAGGGTTAAAAGGATAGGAACACTGCACCCAGACCACTTCATTGACATGAAAACGTCTGGGTGACTAGAGTGTCCCTCTAAGGAACTGACTATACATTCACTTTGTTTGTAAAGATCAATGAGTATAAACAGTCAGGGAAGGCTTAGAATGATGAAGTAACTTTTTTTTTCTTCAAATAAGCTAATTACATCTCCGTTCTGTCAGTCAGATGTATTTGGTCAAATTCAAAGTTTAGTTGAGTAACTATAAACATCTTGGAGGCAGTTACTGCACTGTATATTACACTGCAATAACATGCATTATTATAAACAGTGATTCTTAAACAGCAACCAAATCATTGTTACAATGATATCTGTTTTTTAAAAGTCAATATTTTAATATTACCATTTTTAAAGCGGCACAATCTCATATTCCTTGTTAGAAGTTATTATATGGTTAATATATGAAAAATTAAGAATGGTCACTGAGCGGATTGTCTAATTGAGGAAAGGGTCTCCAAGTTAATTCTATCTACACATAACATGCCGTGTTTGGGTTCCTGTTAAAAGAAACTATTGGTTTCCTGGAACTGAAGTGTGTTCACTAAGGTAGGAAACACACTGTTTTAACAACGAGATTTTAAAAAATTGCTGTTTTTCAGAATCTTTTAAATATGGCTCATTTGGCTTAAACTTCCCTGCGATTCTTAGTTTCCTGAAAAATACCTATGCTATTGGGATGTATAAACCTAAATATTTAGAACACGGTATTTATATCTCTATTGCATTGCTCTTTCAGATTCTGTGCTTATAATGTACATTGTTAAGGTGCAAGGTTCTGTACCCAACACTGCAATGACACACACAGTACAGCAGTGTTCGTACACTTTTATAATCCGAAACTTATCTGCGGACGACACTGTTTTTACGTGAATTTAAATTTCACCTCTGTTAGGGGTGTTAAAAAGAAAGTTACTCTGATACAAGTAATATTTAGTATAGTTTTTGTTTAGGTTGGCATTTTGGTTTAACAGCGCTTTCTTCTCTGAAGACCAAACCACGCTGAAAGTGAATTTTGTCACGTAAAGAGTTACATAATAAAGCATGCTCGTACCTTAATGTTATTGAAGAATCCTTTTCGACAGTCAGCCAAAGATCTCTCCGCCTTGTTATCCCCGAGTTTAACTCCCATTTTTTTTATAAATAGTAGATATATTTCAGTGGTGTTTTACTCCAATGCCAGTTGATATGTAGTTGTAAGGACAGATATCATGGCACAGAGTGCGTGTTCAATGCACGAGCCCTCTACCTGTTGCCTTCTAGGTGTCTAACTGTTTAATAGAAGTGGTTCTCGTCCCTTGCATTCTCCAGTGCAGACACTCGGGTTCTCTGCCTCACTGTCTCTCAGTTCAGGTGTCTGCAGAGGTTTAAGTTGAAAGGGGAAGGATTTATAAGTTTTCCACGTATGACAGATTCCTTTTCTAAATTCTCCGCCTACTTTTCAAACAATTGGTAGAAGAGAGTTATTCTGCAGCTGAGACAGAAAGGGAAGGGATAGAGGGAAAGTGAAACAATTATCAGAAGAAGATGGAAAGACGCAGGAATAAAATAAGGAAATCCACTGTCATTTTACCATTAAACAAGCAGATTTTGCCTGAACGATACATACAAACACTGGTTTCTGTGAGATACATTTGCTTGTGTCATTTTGCCAAATTTTATATTTCATTCATGTTTGCTGGCTGAGCGTGATGGGAAATGTAGTCCACAAATACTTTCACTGCCAAGTCTAGTCGCAACTGTTGTAATAATTCCTGGAGAGATCCAGAGATTAACCAACATTTTAATAAATAAGAAATAAATAATATAAATTATACATATATAGCCAAAGTCCCTGCACTCTGCCAAGTGTTATTTATGTTGGGTCCCAGATATTAGCCTCTGTATACAAAGTAGCATAAAACAGTATCTGCACTCAAGGTCTTTGATCTACAAATCTACAAACAGCATGAGAGCAGATTATTTTTTTTATATTATTATTATTTATAAAATATTTTACCAGGAAAGATACATTGAGTTTTCTCTTGTTTTCAAGTATGTCCTGGGTCCAGGACATATATATATATATATATATATATATATATATATATATATATATAAAAAGAAATACCAGACAGCCACTAGAGGGCTTATGGATTGAAACGGACCTTTGGTCCGGTATCTAACGCTGGGCGCCTTCACGCTCTGCATGAGGACATCCAGCGTCATATTTTTCCCCAGCGTGGCATTTTTATATATACAATCATCTTTTGTGAACCTTTTTGATAGAATGCTTAAAGGGACGCTGTAGGCACCCAGGCCACTTCAGCTAAATGAATTAGTCTTGGTGCTGTGACCCTTTTGCACTGTTTACATTGCAGCTCTAAGTCTGCCCTCTGTGTCTGTCTAACAGTCAGCCACTAGAGGGCTTCCGGAATCATAACGGACATTTGGTCTGTTATCTGACCGTCAGATTCTCCCCACAGGAAAGCATTGAATAATGCTTTCCTATGCGGAGGTCTATTGCGCGCATGGCCATTGCCGCGCATGCGCATTAGGTCTCCCCGGCCGACGTCAGAGGAGCATGGGCAAGCCTGACCCAGCGCTGAGGGACATCGGTGCTGTATTCAGGTAAGTGGCTGAAGGGGTTTTAACCCCTCAGCCCTGTGGGAGGGGGGTTGTGAGGGAAAACGGCTTTCCCTTTAATAACATAAAAAATGGACAGGGATAGTAAATATTTTTTATGCATGTTAAGATGTTAAAAATATGCATTATAACTATTTTAAAAAGAAGTTTAAAAGGTTGCAAAAGCCATAGTGTAGCAGGGTCATTAGACATTTTACTAAAATTAAAGGAAAACTTAAAGGAACACTATAGTCACCTAAATTACTTTAGCTAAATAAAGCAGTTTTAGTGTATAGATCATTCCCCTGCAATTTCACTGCTCAATTCACTGTCATTTAGGAGTTAAATCACTTTGTTTCTGTTTATGCAGCCCTAGCCACACCTCCCCTGGCTATGATTGACAGAGCCTGCATGAAAAAAAACTGGTTTCACTTTCAAACAGATGTAATTTACCTTAAATAATTGTATCTCAATCTCTAAATTGAACTTTAATCACATACAGAAGGCTCTTGCAGGGTCTAGCAAGCTATTAACTTAGCAGGGGATAAGAAAATCTTAATTAAACAGAACTTGCAATAAAGAAAGCCTAAATAGGGCTCTCTTTACAGGAAGTGTTTATGGAAGGCTGTGCAAGTCACATGCAGGGAGGTGTGACTAGGGTTCATAAACAAAGGGATTTAACTCCTAAATGGCAGAGGATTGAGCAGTGAGGCTGCAGGGGCATGTTCTATACACCAAAACTGCTTCATTAAGCTAAAGTTGTTCAGGTGACTATATTGTCCCTTTAAGGCATCCAGATCACTTCATCTCAAAGTTCCACAAAACTTGATTTGCCACACATCCGCACCAGCCTCTCAATGCTTTCCTATGGGAAAGCATTGGATTGGCTGAGATCATCAATCTTGTTGATCTCAGCCAGGGAGTTGGAGCAGCTGCTGCAAGACCAGCACGGCAAGGGATGGAAGGTAAGTAATACTTTCAAACCCTCATGGGTGAGTAGGACTGCTAAATAGGTAGTGGAACACTATAGCATTAGCATTACGTTTGTATTCCTAACAGTATAGTGTGCCTTTATGTTTGAGTGACAACTTGGAGCAGCTGGTACTCATACATTTGATTAATATCCTTTGCAGTCTGAAAACGTACATATATAGTTTGGTGGTAGAATGCTTAGTATACAAATCATTGTTTAGGTACATTCTGTGGCCAGTGTTTGGAGTAGGAAAAGCTGGATTGAATTTTGTATTTTTCAAAGTTTACAGATCTAGACACCGATAAACTGTCTGTAACTTTGACAAAGCTGTGGTTTGTGGTGAATTAACAACAAACTTTCAAACTTTTGACCAAAATAACAGAGTAATGAATAGTAATGAAATGAACATTTGCCTCTTTGCACTTTAATAAATTGGGAGACCGATATTTGAACTCTGTTTAAGTAACTATAGCACATGGTGTAAAGTTTGTTCTAAATGGTTATTCCAAGCACCATGACCACTTCAGGGATTCAAAGTGGTCATGGTGCCTGAAATCTGTATGTGCAGCATTTTGCTATGGAAAGCTGCTCTTATGGAGATTAACCCCACTGCTGCTACAGGTGGGGTGTCATAGGCCAGACTGGAACAAGAGACTAATGTAAAATTCTGTGCATATTCCTATGCACAGAATCACAATAATTTGCTGAGAATGGTCAGCTGATGCTCTCAGTTAATGAATGGCTGACAGGATCGGCTTGTGGCTCGGTGGGAGTCAGATGCAAGTCACAGATAGCCTTAAAGGAACACTATCGTCACCAGAACAACTTTAGCTTGATGAAGCAGTTTTTGCGTAAAAATCACACCTAAAGATAAAGTTGTTTTGGTAGCTATAGTGTCCATTTAATGGAGACCAGGCACCCTGCAGGACAGGTAAAAGGAAAAAACATGGGAAAAGGTGCCAATCTGTATTGGTTAACATTGGTTACATTTGACTTGCTGATATATCTTGTATATCCGGTGACGATGGCGATCGGCTTCAGATTGTCATTTTGGCAAGGGTATCAGTTCTTTGGCTATAGGCCATAACAGTTGTGATACTGAGTCAAACTTGCCAATTAATGTGTTAAAATCAATTGAGGATAACTTATTGTCATACGTGGCTTGAGTTGACAGAATCTAGAGGTCACAGTTTGAAAGTGATACTCTTCTTCTACACTAAATATATGATACTTGACCATATTAAAGCAGATCTGTCACTTTTCAGTATTTCATAAAGATGTCATGTATTTCTTTGAAATACTGATTAGGATTGTATTGGAATGTTAGTGAAATTCCAAAGCAATCGAAAGCTAGCATAACACCAAATAGGGACTACTTTATTATCTTATGGTAAAGCCTGAGGTTGACAAAAGGAGCTCCTCTGCCAACTTTTGTCCAGTCCCAGAATCTGTCAAAAATGACGGCTGTGGGTTAAAGGCTTTTTTTCAATTGAGAATCCTGTGGTCTCATGGGATCCTCCATAGTCCTCAGTCAGGACCAGCCTTAGGGGCAGATGTCAAAAACCGGTTGCAAGGAATAAGGTGGGGCTAAATAGTAATGGGGTGGACCTAAAAATGTTACCTGAACCGCTGCCTGGTTCCCACTGAGGGGAAGCACAACAGAGCCCTGCTTCCCCAACACATCAGGGACTGCCCTGCCTCCACTCCAACCCCCAGTACCCAAAACGGAAGGAGGTAACTTTATATGTGTGTGTGTTACACATTCTTTTCACTTTGTTGTACAACCCATTAGTCTGCAAAGTGACATCTGGAAAATGAAGCTTGTGAACAAAGCAACATGTGCTGAGTCACTTCTCTAGAATTTACGCAATTTAATAAAATATTAAAATTAACTATAACTTATGTTAACTTTTTTTCATGTGATGCTCCATTTTATTATTATTTTTTAGTTTATTAATCCAATCTGTGGCAAAACTAATGTAGGTGCAAAATATTTTTGGATCTACCTACTGAGCAGGGTTGGACAAAAAGTATATCCCAACTGTCATAACCCTCTTATGATGTTCTGTCCGCTGTAGATCTACCATTTTCCCATCCTTGCAGGCAGTGTTAATTTTGGTGACAAATTTTAATTTCATTTTAATCATAGTCTTTTGACTAAAAAGCCATTTTAGTATTAGTCGTATTTTAGTCATCTGACTTGTTTTGGTTTTAGTCTAGTTTTAGTCAACTAAATCTCAAAAATTTTAGTCGACTAAAGTTTGACTAAAATTGTTAGTCGACAAAATGAATACTGCTTGCAGGATTGTATGCATGTGCAGTGCTTGTGTGTGAATGTAGGTGTGCTTTTGTATGGTTTCTGAGTGTTTGTGTATATGTGTATTTAGCGGATGTTAGAATGCGGGAGTGCATTTATATATAGTGTTGGCATTTGAATGCTGGGGTGTGTTTTTGTAGTGCTAGTTTTTGAATGCAGGCGTGTTTTTGTGTGCAGCGTTGGTGTTTGCATTCAAGGCTGTTCTTGTGTACAGGGTTGCTGTTTAAATGCAGGGGTGTGTTTGTGTGTAGTGTTAGAATTTGAATACAGGGGTGCGTGTGTGTGCGTGTGTGTATGTGTGTGTGTGTGTGTGCATGGGTGCATTTGTGTGTAGTAACAGCATTTGTAGGCAGGGGTGAGTTTCTGTGTGATATTGTTGTTAGCATAAAGATGAATATTGTCACAAAGAAATGCACACACATACACTGCCACACAGAGATGCATACAGAGACAAATACAAAAAAAAAAAATAGCAGCGGGGCTTAG